CGACAGTCGACGACCGGGCCCCTGGTTTTGACTTGGACGCTTAGGAAACCTGTCAAACCACCATCAACGAAAACAATGCCACCGATACTGTTCAACTCTTCGACGACATCTTCACCAATATATCCAGGTACTCTAAAGGGACCATTGACGGTACCCAAGCCCTATCCGCTGTCTGTCAAGCTTTTCGCCTCTTCCCGAACGCCGTAAAAGTCTTGAAGTCAAGTTTGAGCCCTCAGGGACGAAACGATGCCTTCAGTGGTCCACTGATATTGCCCGCACCGGATTTCGAAAACGGATCCATAGGTTACCTTTCCGTTAAAGCTCTAAATTTCGGGAGAGCAGCGATCATAGCGCAACCTGCAGTATTGCACTTGATCGCCAGGTTCATTAATGTATACTTCCTCAAGGGCAACGTCACTGACCGCTACCGTGGTACCTTGTTTGAAATTATTTGCTTTCTTCGTTTAGAAAACATTCCATGTTATGACACGACCATCTCAACCAACGGCGACTTCTCTCGCCGTCCTCAAGTTTGTCTGCCGCCTGAGAGTTGGAGTCACGGAATCGAGGAAATGAACAAGCGCGACAGTCAAAAGGACATCGAACGCCTATTGGCTTTCTTTGAATGGTTTGAACGCTAGCCCATCCATCCGATAGAATGGAAGATGTTACAGGTGGCTACCAAAACAGGATCCATCTTGGTGCGAAGTGTGACGGTAGTGATGACTACCGCAACTAGCTGATGCTGGGGCGAATGTCATTTCGCCCCTTTCCTACTAGTGTTATGTGTGTGTATATGGTTTCAGAGAAATTTTAGACCCAAGAATGAGAAGCGGTTTAAAAGTCATGAGATTTTTCTAGCCCACGTGCGTGCATTCTGTCAGTACTTGCATGCTGGCCTCAGATGAGCAAGGTCGGGTTAAGTCTTTCCGATACAAGCTGTGGAATATCCCATCAGACAGAAAGCATCATCAATCGCTCCGGGCAACCCCATGTCATGGCTTCCTTTTGCTCTTCAAGCCGGCACAAAAGGTGATGCTAAGACAGAACCTGTGTAAGTAGAAGTTGAAGATGTGAGGCATTTGTCAGAGAGAAGCTCAATATTCCATGGCGATGTTGTTGTCTGAAGAGGACCGTAGTGCTGCTCATCTCCAGCTCATCTCTGCTAAGAGGGGGATTTTTCTAGTATTAACGAGGAGTGAATCATCTCTAGAAACCGACAAGACACTGGCCGCGTATTCGAGGGGCTTCTGAGCTGAAGAGGGCACGACTAGACCTCGATCGGTCTACTCTTGTCTTTTTTTCTCTTTTCTTCCTTAGCTTTGTACCTACCATGTGTAAAATTTCCGGACGAAGCTCCCGTATTTACGCAGAGAAAAGTAGCCAGCCTGATGGTTCTGGTCAAAATGATCAATCCACATTTATTTTGTTGCATTCATTGGCAGAAGAAGAGAGGTGGTCATTTTAGAGGAAACACGCCAGAAAAAAAAAAGGGCAAAAGTTCAACACTCGAACTGGCGAGGTTCGAGTGTCTATGAAAGCGCTCGTTGGCATCTATTTCTACCGGTTGTATACCGCTCGGCTACTGCGGGTGGTGACTTTTCTGATGGTCTTCGTACATATACCTGGCAAGCTTTCGTCGTGATTCCTTTGTTCCCTCGGATGTTGAACATGTTTACCGCCTGCTGGGGAACGTCGTCATTTGCATAGCTCATCAATACTTCAGTGAAGCTGAATCATGGGGTATCATTTCTATTCCATTCTTAACTCAGCCATTTCTCGGCCTTGTTGGGTATCAATCTTCTAAGCACATCAATCTGCCGCGCTTGCGCCTTGTGTCTCAAGTCTGCGACTCCTCGCCTGTCCGTCCGTCTTTGCCCATTCGAGTAGACCACTGTGAAGTCGGGGATCTTTTCGCCAGGCTTGACGACAGTCAAAGGCGAGATCGTGCAGTTCTGCAGTAGTTAGTTGGCGATCCCAATTGATCTGATGAAAAGATGGCACCAACCTTGCCAATGACAGCGCCATTTCCGATCCGAGATCGGACCCCAACCACCGTATCTGTTCCAATATCCGTGCCTCCAGCTTCAATGATGGCGCCAACCTCTACCGTCACGTAGTCTCCAAGCGAGATGCCTCCGCTGGCGTCGTCGTCACCAACTTTGCCGATATGGGCCCGCTCGTGAATAATGCACCTCCGACCGATAAGGATGCTGCCGTTCGTGGTTTCAAGCTTCGACCGTGGGTGTAAGACGCTTTCCGACTGAATCGTGATCGAATGTGTTCCGACGAGAATGGCGCTGTCGGCAACAGTGAGAGATGACGAGAAGCTGACGGGTGGTCGTGGGCCTTGGTTGGAGACGGCAGGCAGCATAGAATGCCGCTTGTTAGACGACATTGTGGTACGTGTCCTGGATTGCTCCGACCCAATGTAGATCCTAGCCAAATGATGTAAGGCGCATTATTGGTGACGCCTGTAACAATCCAAGGCTCACATGGGAGACCGACATGCGACGCGCAACGGTGTTAGTGATGGGGTAGCTCGCCGTGGGGCAGTAGAGTCCGACGTCGATTCTCTGGAGCTGCCCCAGCGCATAACCCCGGTTAATGCATCCGTGCTCCCACGTGACCGTCTCGCTGACTAAATGACCCGCATTGGCCAATCAACGCCAGTTGGAAATAAGCATCATCGATTTGGTGCAATTGAGCTGTGTTCCACGACGACGAATTCCTCCGATCGACAACCTCCATCCACCACCAAATACCCCCCCAAACGCCCACGATGGCCACTCCACGGCGGTTGCCCGCGCAGGCCGCTCAGGCTGCGCGAAACTTTGCGACAGTACGAACCTACGGCGGACTCAAGGATCAGGACCGTATTTTCCAGAATCTTTACGGCCGGTTGCCCCCGACGCTGGCTTCCGCGAAGAAGTTAGGCGATTGGCACAAGACGAAGGAGATCATTCTCAAGGGACACGACTGGATTATCAGCGAGGTCAAGGCTTCCGGTCTCCGTGGACGTGGAGGTGCCGGTTTCCCTTCAGGATTGAAATGGGTAGGTTGCCACCTTGCGATTTTGCTGGACTATTGCCGCGGCAATCAAGGGAAGGGGCGGAACAACGGGCTAACGCAACGGCAATCGCGCAGTCATTCATGAACTTCAAGGACTGGGACAAGGACGACAAGCCGAGATATTTGGTCGTCAACGCCGATGAGGGTGAGCCCGGAACCTGCAAGGACCGCGAGATTATGCGAAAGGATCCCCACAAGCTTATCGAGGGCTGCCTTGTCGCCGGCAGAGCGATGAACGCCACCGCCGCTTACATCTACATCCGCGGCGAGTTCGTTCACGAAGCTGCCGTTCTCCAGAACGCCATCAACGAGGCATACAAGGATGGATTGATTGGCAAGAACGCCTGCAACTCCGGATACGACTTCGACGTCTTCATCCACCGTGGTGCGGGTGCCTACGTCTGCGGTGAGGAGACCTCCCTCATCGAGTCCCTCGAGGGCAAGCCCGGAAAGCCCCGTCTCAAGCCCCCTTTCCCCGCCGCTGTCGGTCTTTTCGGATGCCCTTCCACCGTCGCCAACGTCGAGACTATCGCTGTCGCCCCCACCATTTGCAGACGCGGTGGCAACTGGTTTGCCGGCTTTGGCCGTGAGCGTAACCAGGGTACCAAGCTCTTCTGCATTTCCGGTCACGTCAACAACCCCGTCACCGTCGAGGAGGAGATGTCGATACCCCTGCGCGAGCTTATCGACAAGCACTGCGGCGGTGTCCGTGGTGGCTGGGACAACCTTTTGGCCGTCATTCCCGGTGGCTCTTCCACCCCTATTCTTCCCAAGAGCATCTGCGACAACCAACTTATGGACTTTGACGGTCTCAAGGACAGCCAGTCCGGTCTCGGTACTGCCGCTGTTATCGTAATGGACAAGAGCACCGACGTTGTCCGCGCCATCAGCCGTCTCTCCCACTTCTACGCCCACGAGTCCTGCGGTCAATGCACGCCCTGCAGAGAGGGTAGCAAGTGGACCGACCAGATCATGAAGCGTTTTGAGAAGGGCCAGGGCCGGCCACGCGAGATCGACATGCTTCAGGAGCTCACCAAGCAAGTCGAGGGTCACACCATTTGCGGTATGTATATTCGTTCATGATGTCAATGATTTCGATTGCTAATAATTCTTTGTCTAGCTCTTGGTGAGGCTTTCGCCTGGCCCCTTCAGGGTCTTATTAGACATTTCCGCCCCGAGCTTGAGAAGAGAATGGAGGAGTACGCCGCGCTGAACGGCGGTGCTAACGCTCTGGGTGGTGGTTGGGAGCCGACTGCCCGGGCTCAGGGTAAGCTGGTTTCACCGGGACAGTAAAAGGCTGGATTTTTTGCATGCTTGTAGACCGGCGCCCGAGGGCTTGTATATATTAGTAGTACATTAGCAGAGCCCTAAATGCGCTGGAGTTCATTTGTTCACGACTATTCAACTTGTATACGTTGCTGCTCAGATGCTATCGTGAAGATTTCGATAAGAGATGCGGGAAAGTGTCCTTCGGAAGCAGTTGAGAAACTCAAATGCTTCATATGACATTGAATCATGTGCGAGTCTATGAATCATGAACGTCAATTCTTCAAGCCACTCTATCGGCGTTAAGCCTCAAGAAGTCTGTCCAATGAGGCCACTGTATTTCTCATCTCTTTATGCAAGTCCGCAAAGCATGCCAGGGATCTTCCACTCGGCCCACAGATCCGGACAGCTCGGGATTCGGCTGGCTGGACCACCGGCCAAAGAAACCCCTCCGAAGAACGGTGGGCGGGGGTTTCTCTAAACTACCGTCTCCGATTTCTTTGACCGCCCCCCCGTTTACCCACGACATCTCCCTCGGCCGGTTGGAGATTGTGCCCCATGTTTTCCTCGAGTATTCTTATTGGGATTTTTTAGTAGAACGGACTTGGGTTTTGTTTTGCTTTCTTGTCTATCTGTCCTTTGGCGGGTAAAGTTTCGCCGAGATGACCTCTTTCACTTTTGACCAGTTTGTCGCCTTTGGGTCTGACAGTGGTGAGTACTATCTCGATTGAGCACTCTCATACGCTGCATATGTGAACCGTTGGATTCGGTCTTTCTGTTACCTCAATTTCGCCTCAACCATTATCTGAGATGACGATGCCTCTCACTTGTGCCCTCCACCCTGCTCATCGCTCACACACAATCATGCTCATGAGAAGCTGACACACAAAACCCAAGCCGGCCTCGAACGCATCCTCCGCGGCCTCCAAGCCCTCACCGCAATCTTCTCAGCCTACCCATCCCTCGTGGCCCTCGCTCTGCTAGACGCAGACCCGCCATTCCTCGATGCTCTCGGCCCGCTACGAGGCCACCTCAACCTCACGCGCCGCTTCATCCGCTTCTTCTGGTTCCTCAACTCCTTTGGCACGTCGTACAATCTCTTCACCTCCATCTCCTCGTCACCGTCACCATCTTCACCAGCCAAGAAGAGCCAGGGCGTGGGTCTGGAGACCTGGCTCGACATCATCAAGTTCACGCTCCTCGGTCTCTACGGCGGCCTCGAGTCCCTCACCCTCCCGGACCTCCTCGGCGTCCCGCAGATCGCCTACTTTGGCGCCGAGCGCACGCGGGCGCTGAACGTCGAGGCGCAGCGATTTTGGCTTCTTGCGTTGGCGGCGGGCGTCTTTGCGAATTTGACGAGGGTGCTCAAGGCTTTTGCGTACGCGCCGGTGCCGCAGCATGGGCATGGGTACGGCACGGGGGAAAAGCCGGATGAGAAGAAGGCTGCCGTTGAGGGAGGTACTGAGAAGGAAGCTGCTTCTGTGTCTGACGAAAAGAAGGGCGACGGGGGAGGAGAGGACGAGAAGCTCGATTGGGAGGCTGAGCGTACTCGTCTCCGGGCTATTGTCATGAAGAGGCGGGAGGATAGGAAGCGGTGGCGGAGGGAGGTCGCGGTCAAGGTCAAGAGTCTTGGGCGCAAGATCTTTTCCGACTCGTTGGATTGCCTTATTCCGGGCGTGATTCTGGGCTGGGTCAACGTTCAGCCGGGGACTGTTGGGATTGCCATGCTCATCACTACCGTCTTGAGCAGTAGAGATATTTGGGATAGATGCGGTGCGACTGTTGGTCAGCGAAGGAGCTCTTGATGGAGACTTGAACTGGGATGCGATAATTGAAGTTTACCCATTCTAGAGGTCCTGCATTTATATTTATATAGATTTAGAGACGGACGTAGATTACGTCCTGCATGATGCCAAAGCAAATTTCAAAGCACACTCGTCATACAAACTCCAGGCCAATCTTCGTCCATAGTGTCGTCATGTCTATCATGTCCTTCTCCTTTGCACTCCGCCAAAGGTCGTAGTAAATCACCACGTGGATGAGCTTCTCGTTCTCAATTTGGGCTAATTTTCTCCAAGGGAGTCAGCGGCTTACTCGGCAGAGACAGACATGGGGGCATGTCTCTGCTCCGGGGCCTGGGGAAGTCGAATGCGGTACTTGTGCGAGCCGAGATCGTCCTCGTCGTCCTCGTCCCACAGGACCTGGACCTTGGCACGCCTCAAGATGGAGAACTGCTGGGCGATTGCAATGACAGCCTCAAGCACACTGTGATTTTCTTGTCAGCGACGAATCCAGAGAAACAGGCCTGGCAAACATGGGAAGACAAACTTACCCAACAATGATGGCAACAACCGCAATGCCAACGTGGTCCTCGTAACGCCAGCAGTACGGTTCACCAGCGGCAATAACACCGGACGTGAATGAAACAGCCGCAAACTTAATATCTAAAGCAGTATACACCCACCCCAAAGCCCTCCTCTTTTTCTTATCATCACCGTCGAACCACCCACGCATCCCACCGTGGCTCTCCTCGTCGTCGTCACCACCGCCGTCACCACGGCGTCCACGGCGGCCAAAGATACACTTGACGCATCCGAGGTCGATGATGACTGGCTTATTCCGGTCACTCCGCTTGTGCCCGCCCTGGGCCAACAACGCGAACGTGAGCCATAGCAGCTGCAGGGTAGCCAGGAAGATGAAGACCTTGGAGAGGCTCTCGTACCGCCTCCGGCCGTCCCACTCGAGGATGACGAGGGTAAGGCTGAGAGCGACGGCGATGAAGCGCAGGAGTGCGACGGAGTTGATGATGAATTTGAGGAATACCAAGGGTGAATACGTGCCCGAGCCGCCGCCGTTGTGAGATGAGGCGGAAGAGTGGTGGGACGTAGGGGTCAGGGGGCGGAAGACGACGTTAGGGTTCAACGGTCTGTTTTCCGGCGGGGAGGAGGCCATTGTTTTGAGGGACCCTAGGAATTTGGTGGAGGGGAGGTCGTATATTATATCGTGGGGTGGGTAGTGGTATGTGTTGTCTGTGTAGGACAGTGCTTGCTTATCCGAGTAGACAGGCATCGAGAGGGTTCATCCGACGGTGGGTGGTGAGGGAGAGGCTGTTATATATGAGACTGAGTCGTGCCCCATCTCACGAATGGAAAGAGGTAGCAGGTAAGCAATGCTGTGTTTGTGTGTGTGTTTGTGTGTGTGTAGTGAAAAGTGAGAGAGATACTTTGGGTTCAGTATTGGATTCAAGGGAAGAGGAGACTGGAACCAGAACCAGAGCATGCAGACAGACCCATATTCCCGAGAAAGAGAGTAAGAGGACACCCGTCAACGTGAGTTCGCCTTGGAATCTCACGCGCACCCAGCTTGGCTCCCATCCCTTGGGCCAACATACAATTCCCCCCTTCTTGCACCCTTCACCAATGGCAACAAAGGGTCCCGAGAGCCGCGGAGGCGCGCCCCGGCTTCGCCATGCGGGATCTCCAAGTTGCTCATCCACTGACGTTGTCCGGAATTCGGGTGCCTGGAGGTCCACTTTGACATAGTGACACACCAACGTCAAACCCCCGCCTCACGAGGGGAAGCTTATAATTGGCCGGCCGGACGAATTGGGTGTAAAGAAACGCCCAGCGGCGGCGCGAGTCGAACTTTTTTGTTTAGAGAAGGATTGACATGCATCAGTTGTTCTGGTATCGCTGGTGTCTGGCTTGGACTTTGATGTGGTTACGGTTACGGTGGTGATCGTCGCGAATCTTACCAAAGTCCCATCTTCGGGGGGTGCTGGGCATGCTGAGGTACGCGTAGGCTAGTGGCTTGCTGGAGGATCGTCGAAATGGATTGTGTTAGCCTCATTCGCGTCTCATCAGACCGTGGGTTCGTATTCATGGAAATATTCTGGAATATACTGCTGTGGTGCTGGTCAATTCGCCGTCGTCTTAGCATTACCTCACAACTGCTTGAAGTCGAATATCGACATGTCAAGAAGCGCTTCATCATCAAACATTCTTCTAATAGGTAGTTGAGCTGTACACTGTCTATATACACCAAGTAGGTAGTCCCAGCATGGGTGTAACAAGAATTTTATCCTGTCAATTTCAAAATTTCCAAAGGGATAACGTCTTCGCCCAGAATTCGTCCAATTGTACTCGCTCTCTCGAACGCCCGATTGATAATGCTAACCAAGATATGCTGTCAGTCAAGCCGATGCTCCACCATTCAGACTTTGAACACAGCAGCGCCGGGCGACGGCTATGCAAGTTTCAGGACAGTTGCTTAATGCTGGTGCCTGCTCGGAAGCATCCGAGGATCTCGAAGCCGGGCCCAGACTTGCACGTTGATGCAAGCAAGTGCCATTCCTTCCAACAGCAAACACCACCACCTCGTCTGTCAGTCTAGCTGAATCAACGACGACCCGTCACACGATAGCTCCCAGTTTCGATCGATACTTTCCACCCGTCGTTGACGAGGGCGGCAATAACGCCCTGTCTCAGTCGCGACACGCCCCCGGCACTATGGAGGCCACGGCCTGTAACAATCGTGAAGCCTTCGGCCGCCTTCCTTGCTCGGTACTCGCCGAGGCCATTCCACCAGTCCCAAACGCGCTCACGAGCGATTCGGACGCCGTCCGCAACTTCGACGCCGTGGAGATCGATCGACTTTCCTGAACTAGTGCTGGAAACGTGTATATCGGCCGCGACGCTCTTTGCCTTGGCGAAACTGCGCGCCTCCTCGCGTCCCCGATCTGCATAGTATCCTGCTGCCTGCCTGTACAAATGTCCCTTTTTGTACACTTGGCCGGCAGTCGTATAAGAGTGACTGCTGGCCTCGCGGTACATGCCAGCTGTGTCCATGGCCTGCTGATAAGTGCGGGGTCCCGACGAGGGGCTATTCAGGAGAACCGGGCTGTTAAGGGGCCGTCCAATGGGCGACATGAGTGACGTTTTTGGCGAGGCAACCTTTTGCCAGCCATCGGACGAGCCCTCCAGCTCTTCCGTCGTCAAAGGCGCGAGCTTGTAGTTAATGTCCAGACGTTTGGCGGGCAACTTGCCATAGTAACGATTCAGCAACGTAGCAACCTCCTCTGTCCACTGATGGTCGCTACGTGTGACTTCGTTGAGGGGAGACAAGTACTGTTCGGGAATGTGCCGGAACTGCTTCTTGAGTTCCTGAATGTACTGCTTCCGGTGCTCATCTTCGCCAGTCCAGGCACCGACACCCTGCTTAACAAAACGATCGAGGAACTCTATGATGGTGAGTTCTGTTGAGCCTTTCCGCGCATCGAAGACATCCGACACTTCATCGAACGGCAGATCGAGCTTCTCCACGATGAACAGGATCTTCTCAACCCCTGAGCAATGTCAGTTGATGCTTTCTGTAGCCATTCCGCTTTACTCACGTTCATTTTCGTCAATGACGGGCGAAGTTTCATTGATGCTACTCGAGCTGGACGACAGGTCCGTACGAAGATCTTTTCGTTTCTTTCCCTTGGCTTTCTTTTTCCCGGACGCCTTCTGAGACAGCCCCGAATCCGCGAAGCCGTCGATGCCCTTTGGCCTCTCGCCGATGGACTCAAGATACTGAATGTTCAACAAGGTCTCCAGGGCGGCTTGGAAGTCGCCCTTGGCTTTCTTGAGCGCGAAGCTCACATCATGCGGCTTCAGGTCTGAGAACATATCCTGCAGCTGCAAGAGTTTCTCTTGATCCGAGTCGCCGTCAAAAGTTGCTATACGGGGGACGTCATAATCCGGTTCAGACGGAGGCGGGCTCGTCAGCCTGGTTCCAGAGGAATCCGAGTCCCTCGGCTGAAGCCCCTCCGAGACCGTGGAGCTGTCTCGTGCATCTACTCCCCCATCAACGGAACTGATGGTGTCCGGGACACCGCTGGCGTTGAATCCGCTCGCCTCTTCGACAAGCACATTCTGCGCTATGCTCTGCAGCATCCCGCGAACGTCGGTGAGCTGGCTTGCATCTTCAAGATCTATTTCGCTCGCGATCGCGATAACGACAGTAGGATCTAGCAGGGGAAATTCCGCCTACACGGACGTCATCAGTATACACCTTGGCTTCGAACACCCGAATGGATTCCGCTCGTGACGCGTTCCCATGCCGCCTCCCCCCTCAAGAATGGTAACATTCTCATGAGAAATCAAGGGAAAATGCATAAGTGCCATCGAGCACAGAGTTACTCACCACTAAGTCATCTAGGGTTGTTGTAGCCATTGGTCAAGATGAAACCTTCACGGTTCGAGATATCGTTGTGAAATAGTCCAAAGCTCACTAGTCATGCTGGAAGGGAAAGCTGCAAAAAGGTATTTTTGCTACCGAGTCTCTGGCCGTGAAAACAACCAGAAGGCCGAGTCGGTCAAGGGAATCAGTCAAGCAACAGTAGTTGCAAGCAAGAACCGAAATTAGTTGTGTAGCGACAGTCGAATGCGCGGGTAGCCGCGTAGCAAACAAACGAGCAGACGACACAATGGTGGTGATGACGCAGGCGGGGCTTTTTTTGGTGGTGGTAGAGGATGTTGGTTTCTGTAAAGGAAAGTCTTTGGCGCTAGAGTGCTCAAATGCTAGCGAGTGCTCGATGAATCATGTGGCCGCCAATCTAAGTCTTGTCAAAAAGCAAATCAATGACTCTGATCATGTCTGTCATCCGCCGGGCTAGGATCGACCGCGCCTCATGTTGAAAAGACGTTGCCTGTCTCCGATCGGGATGTGGCTTTGCGGCTGAGGTCATCAAAGGCACGTGCACAGCTGAGAAAGATGTGGCTGACTCGTGGCTGAGGAAAGCGGAAGCGAAACATGGGGTCATGTGGCTGGTGCAGAAACACTCCACCATCCGGGTACCCCACCATCTTCGGACATTCGGTGCAGCGAACATCCTCGATACGTACCTCCACAGATGACTTCATCCCCTTCGAACCGTGGCACGACATCAGTGGCTCGTCTTTGGGATAAGCACGAGCTAGCGGTTCCCTTCCCGAAGCCGGATCGCTGCAACTCCCATCAACTAAAAGGCGTCAACGGGGTCCGGTTGGCTCCGGCTTGATCAGCTCCCAGGAACGGCACTCCGCGGAACAGCAGGATGCTCCATATCTGCGTCAATCAAGCTAGCGGCTAATGTATTACTCGGCGTCTCTGGCACTTGGAGGTGGGAAGCGGGATGCGATGCTCCATCCTTGTTTCACGGCTTGCGTGGTTGACTGAGGCGCCTCTCACGTTACCGCATGAAAACCTGCTGATATGCAATCAGCTGTGTACCTCTATACAAACGGCCTGGCAAGACGATAGTTCCGCCGTGTATTGTCAGTCAAATACCGAAATAAGAAGAAGCTCAGTCACGTCGCTGCTCCATCTCGACACTTCAGTCAACTTTGCCCAAGGTAGCTCACCTGCATTAGCACCGCATGTATAAGCACTCACCTCACCTTGTCCGCATTCGTCCAAGGCAAGGCAAGGCAGGGTTGCATGGTCAAAGACAGGGATGAACTACATCGGTCGACCGAGCATCCCGACAGCTAGCATTGAAGAGAAAAGGCGTCCCAGCCTCGCGTCGAAGAACACCGTGACAGCGCGAGCTTCAGAGACCCAGGAAGGATACGGTCTGCCCAGCATTGCTGACAATCAAGAGCGGGAAGGGCTTCCTGCCATTTTGCGGTGGCAAGAGAAACCCCAAGATCCATACACCAACGACCCCTCCTGTTTGACAGACTTCCTTGCCTTTCCGGCTACTGCGGCGTGGTTCGTGGGCTTGAAAGGCCTAGGCGCAAATCTGTTGCATGGTCGTGCCCGGTGTTCCCATACGAGGGAGGTCCCGGCGTCTCTGCACCCCAGCGCATCAACCTTACTTTTTTGTTTCCGACACAAACTCGACACAAATCTATATAAGCTTGTTCCCGGACTCCTCATCCGACTGCGCTACCAAACAATGGCACCCTCAACGGCTTCTACCCATCGTGACATTGGGCCTGAAGTCGACTTGATACCGAGTTCTGAACCCGAAAACGGACCTGATTCCGAAGCAACGGCTTACACCGTCCACAGCCGGCCCATTATGAGTTCCGAAACACGCAAGAAGTTTATCAACTATCCTCTCCCGATCCCGGGGTAAGTTGTTCTGTACTTTGTAGGGCTGAGTGGTGGTTGGGTGCTGCCTCATTCACGATGCCGTACCACCTCCCATAAGCATACTTGGGGTCTCGGAACTTGTCACAACAGATCGGTAACTGACGCAATTAGACCGCCCATTCCATACAAGAATGTCAGGAAGAGCAATCCGCCTCTCAGAGGTTGGCTCTTGGTCCTAGCGGCTTGGGCGTAAGTTCTTCGACGCAGCCACTCTTGCTCTTATTCTCCCTCGCAATCACTTACACCCATCAGTATGGAATGTCTATGGTTCATCAGGTCGTTCATCTGGAGCAACGCGGGATTTGGAAGTCTGAGAAAGATTCGCAAACATATTGAAGATGCTGAACCTCGATACGACCCAACCGTCCTGCCACTGCCAGCGGACGAAGCCAAAGACCCGGCGGTTCTCCACCGTGAAAGCGCAGTCAAGGCGAAACCTCACCCCTTGAAGTACTACTCCGTAAACGACTATCATGAGATGTACCTTTCGGGTGTGGTCACGCCACTTGCGGTGGCCCGCGCTATTCTCCCCTTGATTCGGCGCGATACGAATCCACCCGGCGAGCACTCCATCGCGTGGTTCGATACCAAAGTCTCACAGGTGTTGGCCGCTGCCGAGGCATCTACCAAGCGATATAAGGAGGGGCGGTCTCTGGGTCCTTTAGACGGTGTGCCGACGGCAGTCAAAGACGAATACGAAATCGACGGATACCGGACTTGCCTGGGGTCTAGGAACGATTATACGACTCCAGCGGCGCCGGGCCAGTCGATTACCAGCTGGTGTGTTAAGAAGCTGGAAGATGCTGGCGCTGTAGTGCTCGGAAAGCTGTCAATGCACGAATTTGGACTTGGTGAGCCTCTAGTTTCCAAACACCCAGGGCCTCTTAAGCTAACCTGGTGTAGATACGACTGGAAACAATCCCATCTACGGAACACCGCGAAACCCCTACAACCGTGGCTATTACACCGGCGGGAGCTCATCGGGAGCTGGTTATGCAGTTGCGACTGGTCTAGTTCCTGTGGCCCTCGGTAGCGATGGCGGCGGCAGCATTCGCATTCCCTCTTCCATGTGCGGCGTCTACGGTTTGAAGCCTACCCACGGCCGCATCTCTTTTCACCCGTGTCCGAACCACAGCAACAGCTGCGCTGTCAATGGCCCCATAGCCGCTGATATCGAGTCTCTGGCGACCTACTTTGAGACCATCGGCGCGCCGCACCCCGACTCTCAGTTCATCCAGGCATCTCCCTTTATCCTGTCACCCAGCGAGAAGCGCGGAAAGGTCCTCGGTATCCCCGAAGCATGGTTTGCACAGGCAGACCCGGCTATCCAGCGCATGTGCCGTACCATGATCGCGAAGCTCGTCACTCACCACGGCTACGTCACCGTCCCCATCGACATCCCCTTCCTAGTCGAAGGCCAATTCGCCCACGCCATGACAGTCCTCACCGATGGCGCAACCCTCCTGCCGGAAACCAAGAACCTGACGCCCGCGAACCGCATCCTCCTCGCCATCGGACGCGTCACCTCCGCCATGGACTACCTCCTGGCGCAGAAACTCCGCGGCCTCCTCATGCAGCACCTGGCCCACCTCTGGTGCATGTACCCGGGCATGATCATCGTCACGCCCACGACCTCGTGCGCGGGCTGGCCCATCATGCACGAGGGCGAGCTGACCCACGGCGTCAGCGACGGCGACCGCACCATCAGGTCGATGGAGTACGTCTGGATGGGCAACTTTTGCGGGCTCCCCGGCGTCACGGTGCCAGCGGGCTACGTGGTGCCGCACGACCAGCTCGGCGCCGGCGGCGAGGCCGGACCCGACACCGTGGGGAAGGTGCCCATCGGGCTCATGGGTATGGGCGAGTGGACGGACGAGCACAGCCTGCTCGAATTTGGGCTCGACGCCGAGGAGCTGTTTGCCAAGGAGAGATGCAGGCCGCCCAACTGGATCGACGTCATTCAGCGGGCCAAGGACGATATGGCTAAGAATGGGGAGGACAGCTTGATAGACCTTTAGAGTATGATATCCCCACAGACAACGCGCGAGAGCAATGCAAATCGATCAGGGTGCCCTGCAGATACAGAACCAAGGACCTAGCATTACGCATGATGAATTAGCCCACTGAAAGCACCAGAGCCTCTCATTCACACTTGGGAAGGGAGGCTGAGCTGAGCTGAGCTGAGCTGAGCTGAGCTGAGCTCATGAAATCCGGGTCCTGCTTTGTTGTCAAGCGACGTTCAAGCATTCGAAGCAGGGATACCCCGTCTCCGCCCCCGGCACTTGATAGAGGCATTTGACAATCCTCCTCGCTGGCAGCATCCACTTCCTTGCGTAGATCAATGCGTTAACCGTCATATCATGAAGCTCGGTGGAGAGAAGAGAGGGGAAAGGACCCGAGCTAGCGGGACGACAGCAGGTTACTGCCATCGATGGCGAGATTCGAGACAGACCGAGGCAGGTCTATTGTGGATGGACGAGAAGTGACGACTTTTTTCTTTTTTGTGCATATTCGCAGGGAAACCTCGAGGGCAGTACCAAAGAAAGGGAATAAGCATTTTCGAGTCTAATGAAGGCGCGGGCCGCATGCCAATCCCAACCTAAGCTTTTTTGCTCCTCTCGGAAGGGGCAGCTGTTGCTTACACAGCCCCTTATGCCAAGATGATCGAAGGCCGGCCTAGACCGCTCCGACTGTAGTTGCAGGTTAGATTGTTCGCATCTTTGGTGTTGTTTGTATTTGACTTTCGAGGCGGAAGTTCATGCTTGACAGGGCACGGGCAGCGGGGGACAGGAGAGTGGTACGCGAGAAGAACAGATGCATATGCGGCCAGCTTTTGGGTGGTGTCAGTGCGATAATATGAGCTTGATGTCCGGAAGTTGCGGGTGGTTAGTGTGAGGTTTTCATATCTCGGGTCTTTTCGTTCAATTCTCTTCGTTTTAGTAGTATATTTGAGACCTGTTTATGATCGTATATTTCGCCGAAGGCAATGAAAAGAAGTATAATGTCTTCATGTGGTTGCTGTCCTGCTTAGTTGGGAAGTAAGCCACGATGAAGATGGTGGTCAGGCTCACAAAGGCTCCGGAGATTGTCAAGCTTCAGTTGATAGTTGACATGTCTTTCAAGTGTGGCCTCTTCAAGGAACTACTTTGAGAGATGATGATTCCTCTGAACGAGAATGCTTGTCGATGAGGTCACCTGAGTAGCGGCAACTACCAACCTTTTCAAGCGGTAGTGTATATCCTTGGTGAAAAGGAGTCGGTTAATTTTTCTACCTCAGGCTTGAAGTGCTTCACTTGCTCTATAAAAACTTCGGGCTCGACCTCCTATCCAAGAAAGCCAGCGTACGAAACCAATCGACGAGAACCTGATGATGATGAGTCTTCTCCTCGTAGAGCCCGATAGACCATATTCATTCTCCCTGGCCCCTACCTCAGGCAGAAGACTTTAGACCATCCACAAGGCGTCGAATGAACATGCTACCAGGGTGCTTGGTCTATACAGACCCAAACACTCCCGCGGCACCCAGAGGCCGTATACAGAAGCCACGATGTCGCCCGTCCCACCCCTTCAGCCTTTCAACTCCCTCGCTCCACGTGATCAAGCAAAACTTACACCACCACAGCATCCTGCCCGGTTCTTGCCTTGCCTTCTTCTGTCCAGTCCATCGAGAATCTCTCATCCGCCACCAGTCACACATTTGGTCTGGTGGTTTAGAGAAATCCTAAGAAATACCTCGTTCGTGGGGGGCGCAGGTTCAAAGCGGGCCTCTTAACTACATTACCATTTTTTCGCCCTTTCTCTGAGTACTTGATTACAATTATTGTTGATCCATCTTACTTCTAGTAAATTCCGGTTCTTTTTCATTCAAATGACTGCCATCTTGACTAAGCTTCAAAGTAAGAAGAGGTTTTGAAAGCAGTATTTCTTCCATTCGAAGTACCTCCTTTTCTATAGAGACTTCCATCATATTAGAGGAGCTGATGTATCACAGTCTGACATTGTTCTAGATTGCCCTAATAAGATTGCCTGCTTAACGTATGTAGGCTTCATTTCAACCGGAATATAAAGGATTCCCCTTGACACATACATCTACTAACGCAGAGAAGGCAGGATGAGATGCCCACTGACGCACTGCAGTAACCTACGCTTAAGTATGACAGACTCAATAACACAAATCTTTTGCCTCTCTATTTCGACATTATTCTCACAAATAGTCCCATCGTCCTCATCCCCTATCTGAGGTGAGAGCTCCCAAAGAGGCTTTGAACCAAACGCAATTGAGAATCACGACCTCAAAAGTAAGTGATTATCGACTAAGAAGGGGCAACGTCTACTAGGACCGTCTCAGCCTTAAACTCCAAGGGACCCCACCCCGGTCCAAATGCGACGCCAGTTGGCTGTTAGCCGCACGCGATCTGCTCTAGGCCACCTCAGACCATGTAAGCACAGCTCTGACGTAAGGTACCTGGGGGTGCTAGGTAAGGTACTAAGGTAATCATGATCTCACGGCATCTTCAGCACTGATGCAGGTTCTAGCGCCGAACGAGCTGCAAAGTGCACATTGCAGCGCGTCAGAAAACGAACCAGCTCAGACAAAGTGTTGCAAGCACGACAACGTAGAGACGGACAGACTTGACAGACATTAGCTACAGGGCCGTTGAACTTTCATTCCCGGGCCACGGCGGGGGTGCTACGGCATACGACGATGTTAAGCCGGAATCGCACTGCTTGTCCCCGAGGTTGACCGCAGCCGAAGCCGGGCTTCTCGGACGGACATACGGAAGCCTTTCCCCAGAAAATCATTACCGATAGGTTGCGATGGGAAAAGTCACCTTTTTCGGGAACTGAAAGCACGAGTTGTTGAATAGTCCCCCTCCTCCCCTCCTCCGTTGTGAGGTCTGCGACGTTTCCCAACAAAATGCAGGAGAGCCAACCGGTTGAGGTGAGGGGTCAGGTCGCCTTGGATGTACCAGACGGCAGAGAGATAATTAGCTAGCTGCCCTGGCCTGTTTTACTCCAAATTCGCCTCTCTTGACGTAAGGTAGCGTCCCAGCTTGTGGTTTTCTTCATCCTGCCAGGTCTTGTGCCACTGTACGCCCTGAGCTTTCTTTAGTAGTCGGGTGTCTGCAGCTCAGCTCCCCCCCGCATTCTGGCGCTGAATAGGTTAAACAACCTAACGATCTAATCTTTGCGCGGATACCAGAGATCCCCCCTCGTACCACGGCTAGGGAATCGTACGTTGATACAAGTAGACGCTTCCTATTTCCTTGGCCGGTTGCAGAGCAGCAGAGCGTATTACCAAAGAACCGAGAAGAAAGAAAGGAGAAGTCGAAAGTGGAATATCGCACTGAAAGGGGAAAAAAAGAAGAGGGGCGTCTGGGGACAACCTAAGACTGGATGATATCGCGGGCTTGGCCGACTTAGTGGGGAACCACCCCCGGCCTCCACAGGCGCATAGCCTATAGGTACTACCTTAGGTATTCCCATTCCCCTGCTGGGGCTGCTCTCTCTTTCGCCCGGGCTCTCCAGAAATACATCCCTCCCAATTTTTGGTCACCTCACATCTCGCAGTCATTGTCAGCGACTTTCTTCTCTCACACTGCTGTCGCCAGTCGCACCACCACCACCAGAGCAGGCGCGCCTTACCAATTGTCTAAGCACAATACTACTCTGTCGTTCGCTTCCTCCCATCACCAAACCCATCTGGTAGCTTGTGAATGCCAGCGCACGAAACCAAAGCTCGCTCCGCCCAAGGTAGCCCTCTTATCGCTACTGCCGCCCTGCTGCACCCGAAGGTTCCACACCACACACCACCACCGAGGATGAAAGTCTGAGGGAGTGGCGCAATAGTTGGCGAGATTTTCACCAAGAGACGTTTCTCACCTCACTCCATTCCGAAAAACACTTCTTCCTACTCTGATATCGCATATCGAGTTCTTGCCGCCATGCCAGACCACGCTGGAACGGCGGTCGCCGCGCCGCCCCAGAGCGGCTCCAACCCGACCCCTCCCAAGGAGCTATACCCCATGGTCAACTGGAAGTATGACCTCTTCCTCTGGGTCTTGGGCGTGCTGGTCGACCTCTTCTTCCGCGAGGTTCACCCTCGTGGCTCCTGGAAAGTCCCCAAGTCGGGTCCTGTTCTCTTCGTCGCCGCTCCTCACGCCAACCAGGTCAGTTTTCTCTCTTTTTTTTTCTCTTCCCTTCTTCACCCCCCTTGTCGAAGCAAAGCCCCCCTGTCATTGTCACATGCTAACGCCCGCAATCTCTGCATACAGTTCGTCGATGCTCTCATCCTCCAACGCACCCTCCGACACGAGGCCGGTCGTCGAGTCTCCCTCCTCATTGCGCAAAAGTCTGTCCATGGCTTCATCGGCTGGGGTTCGCGTCAGGTCGGCTCCGTCCCCGTCGGACGCGCCCAGGACGCCGCCAAGCCCGGCGCCGGCGTCATCTATCTGCCCGACCCCATCAACGATCCTACACTTATCCGCGGCGTTGGCACCAAATTTGGCCAAGGAGAGGGCGAGGTACACGGTATGCTGTTCTTGCCCTCTGCCAAGAAGCAGACCGGCGCCAGCATCGACATTGCACAGATTATCGGACCCGAGGAAATCCGCATAAAGCGCCCGTTCAAGGGCAAGCTGTCGCTCGAGCAGCTTACCGGACGCGATGATATTGACGAGAATGGCAACTTCACCAACAAGGACCTCAAGGGATGCAGTCCCGGCTTCAAGGGAACCAAGTACAAGCTCGCCCCGCACATTGATCAGACCAAGGTGTACGAGGCCGTCTTCGACCGTCTGAGGTCAGGTGGCTGCGTAGGCATCTTCCCCGAGGGAGGTAGCCATGATCGCACTGAGCTGCTTCCCCTGAAGGCCGGCGTTGCCATCATGGCACTTGGTGCCCTCGCCGAATCCCCCGACTGTGGTCTGACGATCGTACCCGTTGGCATGAACTACTTCCACGCCCACAAGTTCCGCAGTCGCGCCGTTGTTGAGTTCGGTCCTCCTTTCGAAGTTCCCCGGCACCTGGTCGAGATGTACAAGAACAACCAAAGACGCGAGGCCATCGGCCAGCTCCTCGACAGCGTATACCAGGCTTTGAGCGCCGTCACCGTTTCCACACCCGACTATGATACTCTGATGATGCTCCAGGCCGCTCGACGTCTGTACAACCCCACCGGCAAGAAGCTGCCTCTGCCCGTCGTCATTGAGCTGAACCGCAGACTCGCCATGGGCTACGAAAAGTACAAGGATGATGCCCGGGTCGTCCATGTGATCAAGTCTGTTAAGCAATACAACAAGGAGCTGCGCTACGTCAACCTTCGTGACCACCAGGTCCAGTACGGCAAGATGTCCATCCCCAAGGTCATCTTCCTGTTGTTCTACCGCGTTGCCAAGCTCCTTGTTCTGCTTATTGGTGTGCTGCCTGGTCTCATTCTCTTCGCCCCTGTCTTCGCCGCATCCAAGGCCATTAGCGTTCGTAAGGCGAAGCAGGCTTTGGCTGGCTCGACAGTCAAGGTTCAGGGACGCGACGTTATGGCTACATGGAAACTTTTGGTTGCCATCTTCCTCGCCCCGACTCTATACCACTTTTACTCGGCCATCGTCACCTACAAGGTCTGGCAGGATCATCTCTGGGGTCGCGTTCCTGAATGGGTGCCGTGGTGGACGACATACTTGGTCATGTGGCCTCTCATGGTGGGTATTACGTTTGCTGCGCTGCGATTTGGCGAGGTTGGCATGGACATCTTCAAGTCTCTGAGGCCTCTGGTCCTCTGTCTGAACCCTGCCTCAAGCTACAACATCCAGCAGCTGCGTGCGAAGCGCGTCGACCTGAGCTCCCAAGTGACGGATCTTATCAACACGCTTGGGCCCGAGATGTTCCCCGACTTTGAGAAGACCCGCCTGGTGGCAGACCCGTACAAGGCCGACGGATACTCCCGACCGCGCACACCGCCGGCGCGCCGCGATAGTGACGCATCCAGCGCCTACGATGCCGCGACGCCGCCGTCCATCTCCAGGAGACAAACCCAGCAGTCGAGCCGTGCGATGCCCCGCAACGAATCGTACAGCAACATTGGTGGCGTCGGCATCTTCTCCACGCGACCACCTTCCCGGTCGAGGAGTCGGAGCAGCAGCAGCGGAGGCGGTCTCGGGTCGGGCGGGTTCCACATCAGCGGGTTCACGACTCTGGACTCTGCGGGTGGGTTTGACGAGGCTAGCAAGAAGATTCGCGAGGCGATGAAGCTTCGTCGGAGAAAGAGCGGGGATCACAAGATGGAGCTGGGTGCGGACGAGAGCGAGGATGAAGAGTACAACGAGGCGCGCAAGAAGAACACATGATGTCACAGAACAGAGACGCAAAGCAACAGACGTAATAAGCTTTGAAAGAGAAAGAGAAAGCGAGATGTTCAAGTTGTGGAGACGGGGATTGGGCGCAAGGTGATTCCAATCAAAGAGTACCGTACGGTACGTATAGACAGCGTTTTAATAGTTTCAATATGGATTCCCATTTTGTGTTTTTGCGAATCAGCATCGGCCCAATTACTGCGTATTAGCTCACAGAGTGCTTCGTACTGCGAACCCAAGAGTGTACGGAGTACGGATGCTTCGTCTGAACGTTGGAGTGGATTCGCGGGACTGGGGCAAATGCGCAGCCAATTACGGCGATTACAATGTTGACCGCCGTAATTGTTATCTCCGTCCGGCCGGTACGGATTAAGGTACCTTGCCTTGCTGTACGGTGTGGGAGGCCGCAGGATCTGATAACTCAAAAGGTCCCCCTCCCCTCCCTTTCCCCCCCCTCCACGGTGACGCTAGGTGAGGTATTCGAGACGAAAAATCGCACGCGTGGCTTTTTGTCGAACCGGCTAATCCGTGCCGCTGCCGGCCGGAGTTTTGAGGACATAAATGCATATTGCCCGCGGACCTGGGCCTTTAACGAGGCCGAGCGAGGGGGGATCTCGGTGATACGAGCACTCGTTGGGGAAGGCAAGCAGGCAAGCAAATCATTGCGTCCGCTTTGTGGGTTACACCTTTTTACATTAATAAGGACGCGCGCGGGACTACCTAGGTAGACTGGGGATATAACTCCAGCAAAGGGCGGATGTCTTGTTGGTCAGCTTTGACATTTTAGTCTTTCACGAGAGACTGTATTGGTTCAGTTTTCGGCCCACGGAGCTTGCGGCGCGCCGGTTGAGTGTTGCCGTCCTTAATCCCACCTTTTCTCCCCTCAAACATTTCCATTCCCGATTCCTGACCACCTCGTCATTGTTTCCCACACCTTTGTTAGGTCCGAGGGGGAAAAAAAAAGGAGCCAAACCCCAAATACCCCACATCCCGCCACCTTTCCGACGGGTGGGCCGAACGACTCTACTCCGTGTGTTGCTTTCCTTTCCGAACCGGTCTTCAGCCCTTTAGGTGTAGACCTTGCCCCTCTACTCCATACAACTTCCACCCCTCCAAAGCTACAATCCTCCTCGCTTCCTTTCTTTCTACTACGGTGTAGGAGAGTCGCATTCCTATTTCCATTCCTTTTCTACAATCGCTTGATTTGTTCCCTAAAGAGCGCAGAAAAAAGACGACAACCATGACGTCCGCATTCAAGTCCTTCGTCACGGGCGCCAAAAAGTTCGCCCTGGGCACCGCCCACGGCGTATCGGCCCTCGACCTCTTCCCCAAGACGGACCCGGCCGTCGACGGCGAGGACTGCGAGCACGACTGCGAGAGCTGCCACGTGAAATACCCCAAGGGCTTCAAGATTGACGAGGGCGACGAGCTGTACGGCATGGTCAAGGGGTGGAGCACGCACGCGCTCGTGGCGACGGGGAAGAGCGATTGGGTGCGGGACGTGGCGGACGAGAAGGGGAGTGTTATGGAGGCTATTGGGCGGGCTGCGGCGCCGAGTAATGGGGTAAGTTACTCAAGCTCTGAGAAGAAGAAGACGGTGAAGGCAGGGAATAGGTTTTGCTAACGGAGATGCGACAAAACAGAAACTCATGCTCTCCGCCTCCAATATCCCGACACCGAACCACTCGAGCGACTACACCGAACCCACGACGGTCCTCCTCCTCCCGGCCTTTGTCATCATCGACCACGTCACACCCAAGAGCGTGCCGGAGCTCATTACCGAGTTCGTAGACAAGGCGCCGACAAACACCTCCCCCCTCGCGCCGCTCGCCCTTCCGACCTCCGTCCCCGTAGCATCGACAAACGGCAACGGCACCACTGACACGAGCGCGGCCGCACCGAGCATACCCCCCGAAATCTCCCGCCGCCCGTGCCCGCACAGCGCGCTGATCCTCCTCTGCTCGCAAAAGACGCGCGACGCCCGCTGCGGCCAGTCGGCGCCGCTGCTGCGCAAGGAGCTGGAGCGCCACCTCCGGCCCTTGGGGCTCTTCCGCGACATGGACGACGAGAGGCCCGGCGGTGTGGGGATCTACTTCATCTCGCACGTCGGCGGGCACAAGTACAGCGCCAACGTGATGGTGTACCGCCGGCCCGACGCCTTTGGGCTCGACGAGGCGGAGCGCGTCAAGGAGGGAGGAGGGGAGCTGGTGCCCAAGGCGAGGACGGCGGCCGCGCTGCCGGAGACGGAGGACGTGGGTGCTGCGCAGTGTATCTGGCTTGCGCGGATCAAGCCTGAGGATTGTGAGAATTTGGTAAAGTATACGGTTTTGCAGGGTAAGGTTGTGAAGCCTGAGACGCAGTTGAGGGGTGGTTTTGATAGGGCCAAGGGGATAATGAGTTGGTGAGAGCCCGTTTTTCTGGTCTCTTTTTTTTCTTCTGTTTTTGTTGAATTCTTAGAAGCGACTTTGGGCGCATCCGTGGGGGATCATGATCAGGGCCATTGGGATACAGGTCTGGGGGGCGTTGGAGGATACGGCAGGCACATAGAGGAAGACCGGACGGTATTTGGTAGACGAGAGCTTTCGATAGACGAGGGTTTGAGCTTTGCAGAATGGTGTGCGAGTGCCAATATACCTACCTATCATGCTTACAACCTTTTGAGAGGATTCAAGCTTTGGAGGGTGGAACAGGAGAATGTCTAGATGTAAGCCAGCTGTGTAGACGATGTGGAGGTGGCCGACTTGAGACTACACAACTAAAGTAAATAGTGTCTTACCCAGATGGTGTTTGAAATTGCACAATTAGATGTGAGCTTTAGTTCAACAAATGAGGTACACCATGGCCGTTGCACAGCAAACCGAGTCTCCGCACAATGACCGAGTCGACCGGCGTAGGGCTCCACTTCTACCGGCCCGCCCCGCACCCTCCAAAAACACCAGTGACGAGACTGGCAGACCCCCCCGAGCTGCAGGCGCGTTAGGCTGGTGGGCGATAAGATACGAGGGGAGCAGCGCAACGGGGAACAGACCCGCCCGCCGTGGTCACCCAGACAACAGCGCTAGCGTAAACAATCCCCACGACCGCTCCTTCGTGGGTGCCCAGTACTACCGCCCTTCAGCTCACCGACACGACCATCCCATCCAGTCCCGTCCCAATCCCCCCCAATCAATCTTTCTTATTGCACAACGACGACCAGAAACAGAAAAACAATTGCAATCTCGGGACGTAGCCTGGCGTTGAGCCATCTCCCCTCCCCAGCTTTGCATTTGCCGCCCTTTTTTTTTTTTTTTTCTCCCGTCGTCACCAAGTCTCCCAAACATGGTGTGAGCAGGAAGAGACACAATTCCGTATAGCTGTCGGGATTCCTCTCGCCTTTATCCAACATCCACCAAGCATTGGAATTACATCACCCGCCCCTCCCGTTATTTTGGCCGTCTCTTCTTCATTCTTCTTCAGAGCAAGCTTCAGTATTCCCGCCCAGCATTCCACACGAAGGAGGGGGGATAGCATTGTTTTCCCGTCCATCCATACCAGCAACAACCCTGTCTCGAACCGTGTTGTTTCCCGCCCCCATTTTCCCTCTCCTCGACAATGGGCTCCGCCGCCGAAGGAGATAACAATGGAGGAGGCCGCCCCAGGTCTTCGGTCCTCAAGAGCTTCATCCACCGCCGTAACCAGTCCGAGGGCTCTGCGCTCTTCACCTCGCCGCCCTCCGTCCAGGTCACCACCACGCCCGCCCAACACATCTCGGCCGCCTACGCACAGCTCGAGGGCAGGATGCCGCCCCCTCCTCCCATACGCACCGAAGGTCTGGGGGCCCTCGGCGAGCTGAACAACCACTCGTCGCCCCGCAAACAACAACCGGTAGCAGACAGCAACCGAGACCGATCGCGCTCGCCGACCAAGTCCGCCTTTAGCAACATGTCCTTCAAGTCCTTGGCTAAGGAGGCCCGAAAATCACGCGACGTGTCCCCCGAGAAACCAAAAAAGACGAAATCGAGCACGAACCTGGCGGGCTTCCTGTCTCGACCCCGATCGACCATGTCGCTGAACAAGACCACGAAGGAGGAGGAGGAGCGACGCCAGGCTAAGGACAAGGAGAACCGCACACCCCCGAGCTCGACGTCGAGCGCCGACATGACGGGTGGTCCGGCGCCGCCCATATACGCACAATTTTGCAGCCAGGACCTCGGGAGCAATGGGCTGCGTGGAAAGGCGTCTTTCGACGCGGGTAGTGGACGTTATGGAAGCGACGCCTCGAGCGACCTGTCCAAGAAGCAGAGACCCAAGTCATACCACCCCTCCACCGCCATCTCCGAGCACAAATCTACATCAGACCTACGCAGCAGGCCAAAGATGGACGGCCGCGAACCTTCTGCTTCGGAGAGAATCAAAAGCAAAGTCCAGCGTCCCAAGCTCTTTACAGCCTTTTCCGCCGCCGGGTCCAGCACGAAGTCCAAGGCCTCGGATTCCGCCGACAGGCCCATCGACCCTAAAGCGATCGACCAGCACCTCGAGGCCATGCTCGACCGGCGCAACATCCCCGAGAACCAGCGCTACAAGATGCGCAGCCTGGCAGATACAATCAAGATGGAGTTCATCCGGCAGGACTGGGCGGAGATGGCGGCCAAAGAGCAGGCTGGCGTCGCTGACGCCACTGCGGAGCCTACCTCTGCGGCGACTGGAGGCTCTGATAAAGAGGAGACACAATCCAAGCGCTCCCGCGGGAGGAGCTTCACCCTGTCGCGAAAAAAGGACCCCAAGGAGCCCGCCTCGCCGACGAAAAAGTCAAAGGGCGAGAATACCTCCATCGGCCGCCATTTCCGGAGCAAGTCTACCGAGAGCGTGGTGAGCGAGCGGCCCGTTTCGGCGAGCTCGACGGGGAGCAACGGCATTCTTTCTAAGATCAAGTTCGGCCAGGGGCCGGGTGACTACGTTTCGTATCTGCGCAAAGTGCAGAAGCCGGAGCTGGTCGAGGTTGGGAAGCTGCACAAGCTGCGGCTGCTTCTGCGTAACGAGACGGTCTCGTGGACCGAGGACTTTATCAAGCAAGGCGGCATGGAGGAGATTGTCGGCCTCTTGAAACGCATTCTCGCTATTGAGTGGAGGTAAGCCGTGATTTCTTCAAGGGCAGCAAAGTGCAAATACTAACGAACAACAGAGAGGAACACGACGACGCCCTTCTCCACGAAAACTTACTATGCTTAAAGGCTTTGTGCACCACAGCGCTGGCCTTGCAATATCTCCACTCCATTCACGAGGACTTGTTTCCCAAGCTCCTCCATATGCTGTTCGACCCCGAGAAGAAGGGTCCCAGCGAGTTTACTACCCGCAACATAATCACGTCAGTGTTATTTACATACATTGAGTCGGCCCCGCCCATGGAGCGCATCGCTCGCGCGCAAAAGGTGCTCTCCTTCCTGCGCAACCCCCAGCCCAAGGAAGAGGAGAGGCCGCTCGGCTTCGTGCTGGAGATGCGCAAAGACCGGCCGTACACGGTCTGGAACAAGGAGGTTGTCAGCGTCACCAAGGAGGTCTTTTGGATCTTTTTACACCACCTCAACGTCATTGCCCTGCCGTCCGAGATGTCGACCAAGGGCGGCGCGCCGCTCGGCACAATCACAAACGGCGCGTCTTCTTTCCAAGACCCGCACGCCTTTATGCACCGGCACTTCCCCTCGGAGCGGCCCCCCGTCCCGGCCGCCCCCTACGTCGGCGGCGTGGAGTGGGACGCAACCAACTACCTCGCCTCGCACCTGGACCTCATGAACGCCATCATCGCCTGCACGCCGACGTCGGCGCAGCGCAACAACCTGCGCAACGACCTCCGCATTTCCGGGTGGGAAAAGGTGCTGGGCGGCAGTCTGCGGCTGTGTAAAGAAAAGTTTTACGGCTGCGTGCACGAGGCGCTGCGGTGCTGGGTCGCGGCGGCGACGGAGGACGGGTGGGATTCGAGGGATGTGCGGTACGGGCCGCCGCCCGAGTCGCGGAGCGCGAGCCCGAAGAAGACGCAGAAGGCGCAGAAGCCTGTTGACGCGGCGCCCAAGATTGAGATTCCGAAGTTGGATTTCGGGCTTGATAATCATCGGGTTACGCCTGTTAAGGAGAGGGACGTTTGGCTTTCATGAGGGCCGTGAGCATTCTGAGGATCGATGAGCTCGTGGAAAGATGGAGACTATTGTACATCAACTGCTACGGGAACGGGTCGAAACAACAGCATGGGGAAGATTCCAACGGCACGATCTTTCGACATGGAACGCGTCGAGCTCGTTTGGGTCTTTTCTCAGTGTCAGTAGTCCGTGTACACACATTACACGTTGGAGATTGTCAACGCAGGCGAGGGCCGAAGCAGGAAGAAGATGATGAAAAGGCGGCGGAAGAAGAAGACGAGAGGAGGTTCGCGGAAGCTCTGGGGGCGCTGTCTTGTTTCCTTGTGAGGGTTTTTTTTTATCATTTTTCCTTTTCGGGGTTTGGATCTCTGGGGGAGGAGGAGTTGTGTTTTTGTTTTTTTCTTGAGTGTGGTTTTCCTTCCTTGCATGGGGTTGGGATCACGAGGAGGAGAGCAGAGAGAGGAGTGGGAGAGAAGTTGTCCTGGGTATACATGCACACAACGCACAAACAGAGTGAGAATGAGAGAGACTAGGGGAGAGAGAGTGAGGGAGAGTGAGAGGGGGAGACACATCATGCTGCCTAATGCTCCTTACGAAGGGCAACGTTTATGAATTGATGATCATCATACATAGAAAAAGCCATTATTTTCTTGTGCTGTAGCCTGTCCGTTCGTTTGGTTTTTTGTTTCATTAATGAGGGAATGGGAAAAAGAAGGGAATTCAAAAGGGATCGAGTCGAATTAAATGTTTCTGAGTGTGTCCTTTTCCCCTTCTGAGCGGTGATTTTTTCTCCGGCTTTACACGCGTAAAAGACCACCATCTTGAGGGGATTTAGCTTTTGAGGGGAATCATACGGTGCCGGTATGTGTTTTGATGTTATTGTACGGCATGATATGGCGCTACGTGCTTTATTCTACTACAGCGTTCTCGAATTCTAAAGAAACGATGTGATGCGGGATTCGTAGGGCATGTTTGTGCTGTTTGCAGAGGGCAGGCCGGCAGCCTCTTTGCTTCTACCTTATGTGGTGGTTCTTTTTTCCCCCTGGCTTTACAGGCGCAAAAGATCGATCTTGAACGGGATCAGGCTTTCCAAGGGAAGTCTCACGACGCGGTACATCTTCTTCACTGCGCGGCACACCCAAGCACGCGTTCAACTTCAACACAATGATTTTCGATACACATCTGTGTATCTTTCTTTTCAGAATTGCGTTCCATGTGCTCGGGGCATCCGGCAAGTAGGACGTGAGGTAAGGTAAGGTAGGTGATTGGCACCCCCCCTCTCATCAGATAGACTACCCCAGGCGATGCCCTTTTCCCAGGGTCTTGTAGGGTTTCAACAGTTTAGCAGCCTTCTTAAGAGCAAGCATCTGCAACTTGTATCATTTGCGAGTCGTAGTATGACAAGATCTGGGGCCTCCCCTCCGTCGATAAAGATTCCAATCCCGTTCTGTGGAAGGGGGGAAAAGATGACCTGTTGAACTTGAATTCTGACAGAAGCCAAACCGAGCTTGTATCCTTCATTAGGAGAGACACCGAATTATCCGTGAATGTTCCATACCGACTCCATCTTCCGTACGCAGGGCAAAGTCAAAAGTGAGCGAGGCAAGAGAAAAGAGGAGGGGGGGAAACGATAGAGACCGGGGGCGGTCAGCCTGAGCCGAGGGCACGGATGTCAGACAAAGTCGTCGGGCCTCAAAATGGCAGACGAGTTTCTTGGGAGACTCGGAGATGACGGGGGGTAAACACGTTTGCACAATTTGCCCGACAGCCAGCCCTTTGTCCTTTCCCGCGGGCCGCCGGTCGGTAGATCAGAGTGCGGTGTCGGTTCATGATTCGTAAAGGGGCGCCAACGGTCGAGTCCTATAGGAAGAAGTTACGGATTAGTTCTGACAGTGATGGTGGTGGTGGCTCGCTTGAAGGACCCTTGCGGTCGTCAGTATCAGTGCGTTGGAGTCGCAAGGGATTTGTGACGAGAAGATGGGTTATGCATTGCATAGGTAGTTCCCACCCCAACTGACGACTCCATCCCCCTAATCCAGGTCCTTGGATAACGACATTGTCCCGCGAATGAGTACCACCCCACAGTGAGAAGACCCAAGCGTTTGCCGTAAAGTCACGATGTAGGACTGGGTGTCTTCATCTGAGTGAGACAACTCTGCCGACGTAGCAAATGACTGGCAACCCGTAGCATCTCATCATCCAGTCGAGCCCGAAAGTTCCCGGCAAGGTATGGTCATAACCTTCCAGCTGTATCTAGAGATTGCTCCGGTGCGCCTTAAAGGCATCAAACACGGATGTTCCATTCAGCACGTCCGCCTTGACCTTGTCGTCGGCAGCTGTGAGCTTGGGGAGGAGCTCCAGGACCTTGTCGACTTTATCCTTGGGGATGACGACAACCCCATTCACCGGATCAGCTAAAACGAGATCGCCAGGGTTGACAACCGTGCCATCGACGTTGATAGGTACTTCGACTGCCCAAGGGGTACTCTCTGCCCCTGCGCCAACCGTGGAGAGTCCCCTTGACCAGACCTAAGAAGGTTCAGCGACCGGTGAGATGATTAGGGGACTTGGAGAAGATTCTAAAGGACCCAGGTGGTTTATTCGACTCACCGGTAGACCCGTACTGGTTAGTTCGTCCAGATCCCTGGCACGACCTACTACTACGATCGCCTTCGCTTGCCGAACCTTCATCCTCACAGCCATGATTCCTCCGCAGACGGCATTCTTCTGCCCGTCGGGCTGTCTGATGATCACGATGGTACCCGGCTGAGTGATATCAGCCCAGTGCGTGTTTTCGGGAATATTTGCCGCGGGCGAATCCAACGTTTCGCCCTTCCGAGCGAAGAGAATCGTGGATGCCGGTGCTATGGTGATGGGAGCATCTGCGGGGTTCGGTTGGCCCAGCAGTTGCAGATCAGGCAGGAAGCCAGCCCCAGGTACTTTGAGCTTCACGAGTGCATCTGAAATGTCACAAGCGGTGAACGTTTGAAGAGCTGCAATTCGTTCGTCGTGCGTGTCTGTCATGGTAGCGTTAAGCGACTAATCGATAGCGGAATGAGTTGTGAGATTTTGGTTCCTTGTACAGAGACAAGTTGGGAGGCGATATTTTTGTAGCAATCACGGAACCTCGGTTGTAAGTGATGATGTTGAAGCCGGAGATATTGTCCGGATGTATCAGACAGTAGGTCGCACCATCTTGGTTACTAGAGGTCAACCTTTCGACGCAGCTAGGGGCCGGGTGAAGTTGGATGCTCGGGAGCCGCCGTGGGACAGCCCCTCCAATCACATGCCGTCCCAGATGGAGGAGTGTGGGCTTTGCAGGAATGCACGTTGGAGGCTTGTGCTTGGTGGGGGACCATCATGGAGCATCTGCGCGCAGCATCCGTACGCGGTGCGGTAAGGCACTCTCAGTATGTAGTGTACACTACCGTGTAGGCTGGAACGGCTGCGGTGCCACCTTGGCAGTTGCGCAGAGTCAGACGCTGTGTGGCCTTCTAGATGTTTCCAAGATTGCATTTTCTGCAGAGACGTTTGTTGATGCAGCAGCATTGTGACTTGTTGCTCACAAGAACGAGAAGGCGGAAACAGACCGCGGGCCCAGATTATTGCGAAAGGCGCGATACCGGCCTGGTTGAACAGCCCATCTACCGGGTCCAGGGAACACGGGCGGATTAACAGCCTATATGGGTGTAGGCAGGAATCCGATAGTGAGACTGGTGGAGTTGAGGTGCAGCAGTCGCAAGTAATGCCTGCCGGAGCATGAAGGGACCTGGAACCGTTGGATTCATTGGCTGACTGTTGCCATTGGCCGGCTGTATCTCCGACTCTCGCTCACACGTCGAACCAGTCTCGTCGCCAGTGTGCGCAGACGGCGGTCGCATTTATCGCCGGCTGGTGGTGAGACAGGAGGAGCAATTATAAGACAGAGACCATCCTGTCGATCGGCAACATGTACACGGTAGGCGAATGGGTCGATCAGTCACATGATGAGACATGGGCCAGCGGGGAAAGACGATTGAGCGCGTATATACGGCTACGTATGTAGTCGTAGCGTGATTATTCGTCAAAGTGCTGTTGATAATGGGATTGTGTGTGCGGCGCGGGCTCGCTTCTCATGCAGCTCTTTGGCTGTGCCGCGCGACTTTTGTCGTTCGGAGCTTTGGGGACATTGGCGGACAGGGAAGTTTGTTAAGGTAGGCTTCGAGATGGGTCGGTTCCAAGTGTCCGAGATGCGGCCCTGGCCCCCTCGGAGTTCGCATGTTCCTGAAAGAGGGCAGACGATGCGGACAAGCGGTCAGAATCTTGAATTATGGTGGATGCAGACGTGGGCGACATGCTTCTCTGCGGCCGAAAGAAGAGAAGGATGTTCGTTGCGTCGGGAGGAATACGGTGCCTGTCGCCGTGTTGCCCAGCCACGAGTAAGGTCAAGCAGGTACCTCAGGTAGGTAGGAAGACGTTGCGTACGGAGAAGTATCCAAGTATCTTGCTAGTAATTAAGGTAAGTCCGGTGTAAGCAAGGTGAGGTTCGGGGCAATTGTCAATGGTAACTTGTAAGGTAGGTAAGGTACCTAGGAAGGGATCTAGACTCGGAAGGAGCCAGCGAGTGCGACAAGACGACGGAATCTCAAGCTCCAATTGGGAAGCAGCGCCTCGCACTCCCGACCAATAGTCAACGTCGCTAAGGTACCTTAACATTAAGGTAGGAACCTCATTTCACACCGAGAGAGCAAGAGCGAAGATGTTTTCTGTACCTGCCTTATCACGACTTCACGTGGCGACAAATGAGACCTGGAAGGTTCCGAGGCATCGTATCGTAACGAGGGAAGGCGTGATGGAGGTTTATGAAGAGAAGGAGCATTGAGCATTGGAGCAAGAGATTGTTTGGCTGGAGATTACCTTATTACGAGCTTGGGGGTTCCTTTCCGATTGCATTCTTTTTTCCGATTGCATTCTTGCCATTCGTGTCTTCGACACATCACCATACCACCCATCCATCCACCTTGCCTCGGAAAACATACCTACTTCATCTTAGTTGTTCAAGATATCCAGAGGCAAACAGGCGAGCATCAAGAAAGTGTGATGTGATCCTGCAGTGGTCGTGACTCTGTTCGACCCGTCTACTTTTCCACCAAACAACAATGCCTGTGTGCTCAACGCTGGCCTCTGCCAGTATGCCCCGTATACTCTGCGTCCCCTTCAACAACCTCTTGAATCATTGGCAATGCAACATTGGCCCCAAATCTGGGCTGTAGTAGCTATACCCCTCACTCACCGGGGCCAATCGCCGGCCCAAGAGGGAGATACCGAGATGGCGACGACTCCAACGACATGACACGGAGCGCTCGTCACTGGCTATCTATTATCACCAACGTGCCTGCGGCCTGTCCACCTCGCTATCCGTCCGGCTTCTGTTTGTCAAGCACATGAGTTTTCCACGGCCATCACGCCGCCAAACCCCTGGTCTTCTCCTCTTCCTCCTCCTCCAGAAACCCCGCCAGGGATCTCCGTTTATTGCCGGGTTCCAAGCAGGACAATGATCAGGGGTACTGAGTGTCTTCTGGGTACCGCCCAGGCATGTGGCCGACCACGCTGCACTCGCTACCAGAGTACTCCGTCTTTGACGATGAATGTAAGCCCGCCACTGGCGCTGCTTTTGCAAAGTTGTTCCCGGCTGGGTCTCCCTCTGGCATAAGGTTGGCTGCGCTGTGGGACGTAGGTGGACAAAGCCCAACGACCGCATGCTCGACGGCCCCGATGGCATGGCAAGTCCCGGGCCGCTGAAGATCATGGATGGTACTGGTCCTGACGGGGAGCGGGAACGGGAAAACACTGGATGGTTTCCACAAAGTCTCCCTCCCGAGTCCCAAGGTCTCAACCCAAGCCCTCAATTCTAATCATCCCCGTTTCTCTGCTTCGACTGCGTATGTCTGCGGCACGAGCTGATAGCTAGCAGCCATTTCGAGTCATTCCGCTTGACTCGGGGGGAGACACCTTCTTTTCTTTTTCCAAAACATGCAAAACAACTGACATCTGTTCGTCTGTTCTTTGCGTGAGACATATGCCGCGCCGCGCGTTGCGTCGGCTTGGGCCTTGGGGTGTACGCGGTAGAAGAATTCAGGGTTCACAATGTCCCTCATGACTGATACCGATAGTCTAGAGCTAGGCATGCCACAACCACGACCACAACCAAAGTCGTACAGCCAGACAGGGCGATTAGGTACGAATGAGATCGTTCTCGGACTCGTCGGAGTCATCTTCAGGCACCAAGACACAGGCGTGCCCTGCTTGGATTCATAATCATGGTTCACTGCCTTTCTGGGAAACCCGAGCAGTCGAGCTGGAGATGGTGACCTTGGCATCATGGCTCGAGGGATTGTCGTTGCCGTCACAAGGTGAAAGTCGCTCACCGAGCCAATCCAGACGGGAGAGCTTCATAGAGGCTTTGTTTCAAGACGAGGGTTCCTGGCTCGAGTTGGGTGCGAAAGGATCGGCGCGTCCATCCCGAGATCCCTGGCCTGCACTCTTCCTGGCAATCTGGTCCCAGACCTGGTCATCCGTCCCTCTTGGAGAGAGATCTCCAAGGTCAATGACTGCTACTTGTTACTCTGCTCGCGCCTACGCTACTACCGGTAGCAGCCCGGCGGCGCAACGCAGGGCAGACGGGAATGCCAGCAGCAGATGCCAGAAACCGCAGCCTCTGGGTATCTCGGTCGACCGTCGACCTTGTCCTTGGGTGTCGCCCGTCGGTCGGTCCTTAGTCAAGACTTACCACAACATGGCTCCCTAGGCAGAGGTAGGGGGCAACTTGGACACCATTCCCACTTTTGCGCCGGCTGGCAGGTAAACCTCGGACGGATCAGATCAAGTACAGACCCCAGGGTCAGTCGATTGGGCCAACTGCAGGACGACGTCGCTTCAAGCTCCGCAATCTCACAAATTTGCATTGAGCAGACGGGTCCCAGGCCTGCTGCTACTGCGAGTCTGCGTGATCCAATGCGCCTGCTACTGCGCGGCGCACAGAGTTCCCCCCCCCATTATCCATGCCTGCAGTGTGGTCGCAAAGGACCGACCCAGCCAACCCTGGCCAAGCGCTGAGCTCATTCGTCCAGAGTCTTGTTCTGGGCTGCAGCAGTTCTGACCCAGAGGGCCCATGTCGCTGGCATATCATCCACACCTGCAGCCTATGTACAAACCTCTCTACGACTGGTGGATGAGTACTTTGCCTAGACCGGAGAAGGAAGAGGAGGAGAAGGAGGAGAGCCAAGGGCAGGAAAAACGATTCATACGAGTACGGATACTCTAGTCGAGGCTTCATCGTTCTTCACGCAGGAGCAGTGATGAGCGGAAGCAAGCAAGCAGGACAGAAAGAAGCAAGCTGCGTACTGTGTACCTGGCACGCTAAGGCAAGGAAAGTAGCCATAGTTCTCTCCTGCGCGGATGTCAGAAGCAAACAGATGGAACCCAACAGCAGCGAGTAGAGAGCAGCAGACCAAATAAGACACGGCGAATTGACAGACGTTGGACGACTTGCGTGGACTAGCAGCAGAGAGGGAATTGGGGATACGGAGTACAGAGAGAAGAGTTCAGGGAACCCGCAAAGACGCAGGACGCAACTTGACGGCCTAGAGTCAGTTGGAGACTTTTTGGAGACATCTGGAGGGGGGGGGGGGCTGGATCCAATCGATACTCGCACACACTCACTCACACACGCACCCTTGAGTACCTATTGGGGCCTATTGGCACTCTCACCTTTGTGGACACACATTCATCCAGTTGCGCGGCGCGCCGATGTCTCTCATTGGGCCCCCCCGCTCCCCCAAGCCGAAGAAGAACAAGAAGAAGCACATCCGAACAGCTACGGCTTCCTTAGTGGCTAAAGTACCTTTTAGGTACGGAGAGCCGGGAGAGGTACGGAAGTACTTGGGCTTTCTTCACCTCACCTTGTCTCGTCTACCACCTTATCCGCGTTACACTACGTGACTGACTACCTACCTACCTTACTCCATTCACTACACACCCATCTCACCTCAGGTTGATGAGAGAGAATCCTCCTTCTCCTCCTCCTCCTCTTCCTTCTCCTCTCATACCTGCCTGAGCTATTCTCATCCCATACCGTCTCATCACACCATTGCTTGTCTTGTCACAGAACCCCTCCCCCACCTCGACTACCTACGCATCCGAACTTCCCCAGCCACCGTCGTCGGGCTAGCCAGAGTAGTTGCCGCAACTTGGCCTTCTCCTCTCTCTCTGATTTGGTTGAGCTGTGTCATCTTGTCTGGCCCGCTCCCTTCCCTTGAGCCGTCTGCCCTCTTTGCCTCTCTACTACAGAGTACAGAACTACGACTACGACATCCATTTGCCTGGCCTTGCCTGGCCTTGCCTCGCTCTAGGCTCTAAGGTAAGGTAGGTAGCAAGTAGCAACTAGGTAGGGTACCTTATTTCTCCTCCACCCTTTCCGAGAATACCCTGTCCACTCTCCCATACTGCGTATACCTTACCAAACCTGACCTTGCCCTGTGCCTTGCCTTACCCTTCTTATCCGCCCAGCTAATACCTAACTAACGCTATCAGCCTCTCTGCTTCCTTTCCCACCCCTCCGGTGCGCCTCTTCCACTACTGGGCACTTGCTCACTCGCTCTTCGCCATCCTCTCTGCCGGCCGCCGCCTCGACTCTGAGGTGTATCAAACAGCAGCCGCAGCCGCCAGCAACCCAACAGCAGCACCTCACACCTCCTCACCTTACCTCACCTCACCATTTCTCGACACCCGCCGACGCCGATGCCGACGCCGCCCTCGCCGCTGCCCAGAACGCGACGCCCTTTTCCCCTTCCCACAAAGTACCTCCCCTGTGCCTGTGCCTGTACCAGGATCCACCCCACCACAATCCAGATCTCCGAAGCTTCTCTGCAAGCCCTGCCGCTACCGACCACGCCCACTCCCACGCAACCCTCAACTCGCTGAGACGAACTAGGAAGCTCTGCGCTGCAGCTGCGAGCCGTTTCGTTCAAAATGTCAATAAAGTACGTCCCTCCATGTTCCCTTTCCCTCTTATGCTCTGCCTCTGTTTCCCCTTCATCTTCTCGTCATCCCACGCCGCCCCGAGCCCCAGCACCACGGAGCCATCCCGGTCAGTGTCCGTGGTAACCCCGCTGCCAACCTCGACCGTCAACCTACTCTCTCTCTCTCTCTCTCTCACTCCTCTCGGCTATATACCACCCCACACTTGCCGTCCACCATGACGGATCAGTATCTGCAAGAGCAGCATGCCCTTACCATTGCCCGCACCGTCCAGAGAGAACGACAGCTTGCCCAGGCCCGCCTAGATTCTGACCATGGTGATAGTTGGGTCATGATCACCCAGACGGGTGATATCAACCCTCTTCCCCACGAACACATCAGACACAGATCCAATGCCAAAGTAAGCCTCGAGCTGTCGGTACCCAAGGCCTTACAGCAAGGAAGGACGCCCTTTGCGCGCAAGAGCGACAATGGCACGGCATACATCACAACACAACGGGTATGCACTACATGACTTATCCCAAGACATGGCGCCGGAGGGCGAAGCTGATCACCCTGCACCAGGTCATTTACATTCCTGCAAAACCCACCGCCGAGTTCAAGTCGTTCCATGCGCCAATCTTGAACTGCGCCGATTCCTACGTTGGCTCGCCGTTCTTTGGCGCCTGGTTCTGGTCCGCCACCGTCGTGCCCGTCTCTGGAGGCGGCGTGCCTGCCGACATACCACGGGTCGAGGTGAAGATGAGCTTCAAGGAGGGTGGTCACAGCGAGTTCCGGCAAAGGTTCGAGGAGCTCAAGGAACGACTTGAGCATGTGAGACGCCTGCAGCAGGAAACGGGACAGACGGTCAACATTCCGGACGAGCCGCTGCCGGCCTACGAAGCAACCGAGGGCGGCGGAGCAGCTCCGAGCAACCTGGCGCCGCAACAGCAGCAGCAACAGCAGCAGGAGGAGGAAGCGGCCGGTCAGCCGGCAAGTTCGGGGGGTCAGAATGCGAACCGGCGTCCGGACGAACCCCCACCGGATTATGATGAGGCGCAAGCACAGACGCTCAGCATGCGACTCGAGGACCATGTTCGCGAAGAGTCTGACAGAGCATAGCGGGGGTTTTGATTCATCACGGGTTCATGACTAACGCTTTTTTGCATCGATACCTCCCTGCATTTCACTCCCTACACCTGTAACTTTTTATAGCATCTACACTAGCGGCTGGCGGATCCTGCGTTTCTTAACGAACTTGAAGTGTAGAGAAATGACGAGCACGTCTTGATGAGGAGGACGAGGGCGAGGACACAAGAATTGGGATGCATGCCCCCAGGAACAAGAGATGGGGGCAATAACAGTGTGCGCGAACCATCTCACAAGGTAGAGATGGACAAGACCTTGTGTGATGAGTGGCTGCCACCTCAGTAAGCATGATGGTTGAATTTAACGCTGGGAAGCTTGACGCAACCATGCGAGTAACTTTTCTTCCCCCGTAACTTTCTTTTGCCTGATCTTTTTTCCCTTTGCTTTTCCACTTTTCCATGTGATTGTGACGAGATGGTGGCTTGGGAGCTTCCGGCCGGCCTCAAAGGTGTGAAGTGAGGCAAGGTACCTAAGGTAGGTAAGGTAAGGTAAGTGGTAAGTACCGGTATAGAGGTAACGGGAGGTAACTGGAGGTGGTAGCACCGGAACGGCAGATCCTTGGCGCTCCGGCCCACGGTCACGTTGGCGGTTCCCGCGGTCGATGACGCTTAGTCACCCAGCCTTTCCACCGCAGCCAATCAAAACGGGCCAATTGGGAATAACTTACGACCGATTCAGAACACCCAGTTTTCGTTCCTTTCGACGTCTCTGCCGAAAGCTCCCGACTTCCCACCCCCAATCAACCACTATCCACGACATCACGTCAAGCCAATTCACGCACCTCCGCCACAATGGGTTTCTGGGATACCATCACGGACCTCGCTGAGGCCGCCATGCCGTGGGCCACCGTCGAGGCCGAGGCTCCTGCCGCCGAGGAGAAGGTGAGCGAAGCTTTTTTTTTTTTTGCGCGCAATTTGTTGCAGGGCATGGCCTGAGGTCGGGCGATAACCACGTTTTCGCTTCCGTCGCTGCCCTCATTTTGCATCCGCTCTGCAGTTTTCTCGACAAACATGAACCGTTGACTAACGTTTCTTTCTTCAGGAGGAGGAGACCGCCGAGGAGGAGTCCAAGGAGGAGCCCGAGGCCGAGGAGGAGGAGGAGGAAGAAGAGGAGGAAGAAGAGGAAGAGGAGGATGAGGAGGAGACCGTCGACCCCAAGGAGCAACTCGAGAAAGGTTCGTTCTTGCTTTTTACTACCCCCGGAATCCCCGACACAAGATTCGATGGCGATACGCGATGTTCGGTTTGCTGGGCGGGAAACAGTCGATGACACGCACATGAGCAATTTCGCGAGCTCCCCCATCGACATCCGAACCGCCTGCTTCCCAACGTTATCGACTCGTCAAACGCGATTGTTCGATATCTCGAAATTCTACAGAACGAGTTGCTGACGATTTTTGGGTGACAGACTGCGAGGAGTCCAAGGCTTGCGCACCGGCCAAGCACCACTACGACGAGTGCGTCGAGCGCGTCACGGCGGCTGCCGACAGCGAGGAGGGTGCCAAGGAGGACTGCGTTGAGGAGTGTAAGTTATCACTGAGGTCTGCATCTGTCCGTCATATATATATATTTATATATGATGGGCAGAAGGCAGACGGTCAAGGAACCTCACTACAGGGCCGACGAAAGCTGACATTGTGGTGTAGTCTTCCACCTCGCTCACTGCGCCACCCAGTGCGCCGCCCCCAAGCTCTGGGCCAAGCTCAAGTAAATGCAACATTTCCCCAGTCTTGACATCGTAGACGACGAACGACGGAACGGCATCGGCGGTTCATCTTCTTTTTTTTTCGAGGCCGAGCCCATTATTCGCATTAGCGGCATTGGACGACTGGTATTCTATTTCTAGGAGAGTGGTCTCGCGTGCGTGAGAGAGAGAGAAACGTCGTTGCCGAGACCAGATGAAGACGAGAACGAAACTGTCTAGCAAACCGGTCCCGGAGTTTCTTTTGGGACCTCCAACCTACCCCTTGTACCTCCATCCCTCACCCCCAATGGTGCTCGTCAAGCCGGGTTGCTCAGTAGTGGGCGCTGTCTGGCTTGCGGCGCCGAAAGATTTTGTCTTTTGTACCATAGGCATATCGCGCAATAGATTCCTCCATGACTTTTACTTGCATGCGGATCGAGACCATGATGAGTGTTGAACTGACACGGCTGGTTGTCAATGGGGCTATCTTTGATCTTGACGAACGATAGATGGGGGCTCTTGGGCCAAGAGGGATCTCATCCTCGAGACCGAATCGGGGACCGTCAAGCAGTAGCCATGGCACAGTTCTGTAAAGAAACGTGTACAAGTTTGGGACTAGAGCTCAGAAATCTAGTATAGAGAGAAAGAAGTAGGTTTTTGGGGGATAGACATCAATTGATTTTTGCTACGTCGTGTTCATGACAAACTTGGCGGAAGAAGGTAAAGTTGATCAGCTCATCTCGGATAGAGCAGCATGCCTTAGTAGGCGAGCTGATGGCGCGACGACGGAGGACGGGCAGGCATGGATGGCAAACCCCCGGGAACGCAGTAAATCTGCTCGTGTGCGGCGAAGTAGATGAGACGATTGGGTGCTTTCACTGCGTTTCTGAGGTGGTTGACAGGTGTGTACACATGTTACCGTAGCCATGTTTTCTCAAGTCTATCTAGCTTGTTGATCTTCTTCGAGAAATGGGTTTTTGGCATTGCTCGGGTAGGATATCTTTTTCTCTCTCGGTTCTACATAGAGACACTTTTGCTGGGACTTTCATTCGGGATGGGGCCTTCTTCCGAGTACATGTTGCCCTGTGGAGCGGAGGATGGGACCCGGAGGAGGTGGCCCAAAGAGAGGCATTCGGCCGGGGAGGCGGGCCAATGGGGAAGGGCCGAGGGGGACGGGGAAGGGGAAGGGTCGCCCGTCGGTTGCTGCGCCGTACCAGTACGAATACAGCTTCGAGGAACTTTGAGAGCAACCCCGATTCTGTTGGTTGCATTCTGGGATACCTCAGATGATGGGTTATTAGGTACGAAGTACGATAGGTACTGCATGCATATCTCTTGGTCCTCGGCTGGGTGGGTGGGCATGTGAGCCCATTGTCGAATGCTACGATGCTGCAGTCAAGCTTTCTGGATACGGTGGTTGAGTTGGATGTGAGCTTAGCTTAGCTTCGTTCCCCTCTTTCCTTCTGCCATTCAGCCAGTTTGCGACACCTGAGTTATTCATTCCATACAAGAATCTGGTCAAGTGGGATAATGAATAGTCGTACGCCAATGCCTGCTTCATGGAAAGCACGCGAGGTGGAGAGTTTGGGCGCCATGTCCCCCCAGTGTAATGCAAACTTGAGAGGATCAGGAAAGTGAAGAATCGTTCTGGACCAACATACACGGCCCACGGCACGAGCAAAAAAGCACAGGGTACACACCAGTCCAGACCGGGGAAGTTGGGCCGTTGGAGGGCTCAAAGAGAGGAGGGACCTTGTGTCTTTTCTACACAGTAGAGATTGATTGATCGAATACCATTCCTCACCTTACCTTCTCTGGGTATCTGCCGCATCAGTTGCACTGCATCTGTGGCCCCCTGTTCCTGTTCCCACGTCCCGCGTCTTGTCGATTTTGCCAATATTCCGTTCAGGGCAGGTTCCTTTTAAGTCGACCTTATCGCTTTCTCTTCTTCAGCTTATATTTCTTTTCCCCGGCCCTGTTCATTCCCTCCCATCCTTCCCTCCTCTTGGCTTTTTCGTGACTTGGTGGTGGGCTTATCCTTTCTTTACCCTCTTCCCCCTCCCCCCAACCCAGCGCATTGCCCTCCGTCCCAACTTCGCGCAGTGTTGGAGCTTCAGAGGAATAGGAGGAACTCGAGACGACGACCGACAATCACAGGCATTTACAGCACAAACCCGCAGGACAAAGGTGGAACGACTCAAGTCAAGGACTCCCTGCCAAGACACGCCTAGGCCAATCTCCCGCCCGCCCTGCCCGCTAATCCACCGTCCACAACCTGCCCTGGGCGAACCCAGTGCTCCGTGGCTCCGCCCACTCACCCGCTGTCTCAGGGAAAACTTGCGACACCCGACAGCCCCTACAACTAAAGATCGGGCTCCCTAGCGCGCAAAAGTTCTGGACCGTTTGGCCGCTCGCGCCCACTACAAGACACCTGGGTTCCGACAACACACACACAAAATGCCCTTCTCCCGCCGTCAGAAGAAGGCGAATGACCCCTCGGTCGACAACTCCACTCCTCCCGCCAACGACACCGCGAATAACATCACCACCACCACCACCACCTCACCTCACACAGGCGTAAACGAGAACGAAAAGACGGCCGCGAACCCTTATCCCGCTACCGTCGAATCTCCCATCGACGCCGCCGCCCCGACGGCCCCAATGCCGAACCACGCCCACCCCGGCTCCGGCTTTGGCAAGCTCGGCGACGAGGAGTACAACCTCCGCGATGTGGACTCCCGGTCGCGCGACAACGACATCACGGGGGCGGGCGGTGTCGCTGGTGGTGGTATCGACGGCGACAATAATAGCGTCCTCGAGGGAACGGCCGTCGAGTATCGCACGTATAAGCGCCGCTGGTTCGGCCTCGCGCAGTTGACGTTGCTTAACATCATTGTCTCGTGGGATGTAAGTCGAACTATCTTCTTCCAGCCTTTTTGTCGAATTATGGGCGCGAAATCATGAACGAATCGCAAAAAGGGTATACGGGTACCTGCATCAGACAAGCCACCATCGATCGTACAGCACATCGTCAACAAGGCTGGCGAATAATCACTTCCTGCCACCTATCCTGCATCAAACCACCAAAACCTCAACATCTCAATGAGACCAAGATACTAACACCAAACCAACCCGCAGTGGCTCACCTTCGCCCCCGTAGCCTCCAACGCAGCAACCTACTACCGCGTCTCCGAATCCGCAATCAACTGGCTCTCCACGGCCTTCCTCTTCGCCTTTGTCGCAATCTTCCCCCTGACCATCCGCATCCTCCACATGGGCCCCAAACCCTCCTTCATCACCGCCGCCGCCCTCATCCTCGTCGGCAACTGGATCCGCTTCGCCGGCTCCCACTCCCGCTCCCCCACCGGCGGAAACTACGGCGTCGTCATGTTCGGCCAGATCCTCACCGGCCTCGCCCAGCCCTTCGTCCTCGCCGCGCCCACCCGCTACTCGGACCTCTGGTTCACCAACCGCGGCCGCGTCGCCGCCACCGCCCTCACCTCCCTCGCCAACCCGCTCGGCGCCGCCCTCGGCCAGCTCATCGTGCCCTTCTGGGTCGCCGACCCGCAGGACATGTCCCCCGGCGTCCTCTACGTCGCGGTAATCTCCACCGTCGCCTCCCTGCCGGCCTTCTTCATCCCCGCGGCGCCGCCCACCCCCGTCGCACCCTCCTCCCGCACCCTCAAGCTCGGCATCCGCGACTCCCTGTCCATCGTCTCCCGCTCCCTCGAGCTCTGGCTTATCCTCATCCCCTACGCCTTCTACGTCGGCTTCTTCAACTCCATCTCCTCCCTCCTCAACCAGATGATGGGTCCCTACGGCTTCACAGACGAAGAAGCAGGCATCGCGGGCGCCCTCCTCATCGTGGTAGGTCTCGTCGCCTCGGCAATCACATCGCCCATCCTAGACCGCACCAAGAAATTCATCCCCGCCATCAAGGTAGCCGTCCCCGTCATCGGACTGTGCTACCTAATCTTCATCTGGATGCCCGAGACGCGCAACATCGCCGGTCCCTACGTCGTCCTCGCCGTCCTCGGCGCCGCGTCCTTTTCCCTGGTTCCCGTCGCGCTGGAGCTTCTTATTGAGCTGAGTCACCCCGTAAGCCCAGAGGTCACGAGCACGATCGCCTGGGCGGGCGGACAACTCCTCGGCGCCATCTTTATCATCATTTCCGACGCGCTGCAGGCGAATGAACAGGCGAACCCGCCCAAGAATATGAAGAATGCGCTCGTCTTCCAGGCCGTTGTGGCACTCGTCATTGTGCCGCTGCCGTTGTGTCTGGGCTTGTTTGGGCGGAGTGATAGGGTCAGTCTCCGACGTGTGAGGTCGGACGAGCAGAGCACGCGACAGACGACGACTCCGTAGAGGAACTCTCGTTACGGTATGCCATACGTGGTGAAAGAGTGACTTGTTGCAGTTGTGTTGGTAATTAGGCATTAGTCTTGTTGTGCTATATAGTTAATTTTGGATACCCCCATATATGTTTTCATATATGTTTCTCGTAAAACAAACCGTCTTTCGTCTCTTTTTTTTTCCATTCCGTATCTCATTGTTCTGACGGAGCTCGTCCATAATTCTTCATCCAGACTTGCCAAGGCCGTTGGTGCGACTGTGCCCGTTGACGCCCTCCCCGCGAATATCGAGAAACTCCTCCCACTCGTGCCTCAACCTCTCCATCTCGGTCCACACATCCACCCCCAACGCCTCAAAGTCGACAAGCTGCTCCTTGGTCAAGTCCCTCGCGCCGGGATTCCGCCCGACAGCCTTGCGTAGCACGCCCGTCGCGGGATCTCTCGCAAGCGACTCCCGGTCCTCGACGGCGCCCTCCCACCCCCACCCCTCCACCTCTGTCTTTTTCACGTCCTGCCGTCCCGAAAACGACGCGGCGGACCCCCACTTGATTTTTTTCGCCTCCAGCTCCTCGAGCGTCTCGTCGTCCTGCAGCGCGATCCAGACGGGCGCCACGGCGCCGTTGTATCCCGTCACGGGGTGCCAGGGCGAACCCAGCCAGCGGGCGAGGTAGAGCGCAAACTTGTAAGCCCAAAAGAGGATAAAGGGGAAGGGCACGGGGAAGAGGTTGGAGGCGACTACGCCCGGGTGCGTGAGATAAAAGGAAGGACGAACTGGTAGGCGTTGCGCGATTTGGGGGTCTTCGGGTGTGAAGTAGGATCTGGCTATGCGCTGCGTGGCGGGTAAGTGGGACGATAGAGAGAGCACGTCCGTCAGGCGCTTGGAGGACTCGTACGGCCCTTCCGTCTCGACGCCCTGGAAGTCGTCGAGGCGGAGGTGGCGCGCCTGAGGCTCGATGCTGCTCGTCCAGACGACGCGGCCTGGCGTCTCTTCGGGTGTGGCTCTGCTCAAGAGAGGTAACAGCTCATGGGCAAAGACGTAGTGGCCAAAGACGTTTGCGCAAAAGACTTCACCGAGGACGGGGGAGGAGGGCTTGGTATCGTAAGCGGAGGCTAGGGAGAGGGGGTTATCGGGGGAGTCTGTGGGTACCAGGTCGGAGCGGACGGGTCGCTGGTTCAGGACGGCGCCGGGGCGTGCGAGCTTGAAGGAGGGCCAGGTGAGGACGGCGAGGAGGCCCTTTGTGAAGGTGTCTGTGAGGAGGCCGGCCCAGTCGAGGCCGGTCCAGCCGCCGAAGCCGGCGTTGAAGATGACGGAGTCGAGGCGGGGGATCTTGTAGGCGCGCGGGGGCGATACGGGGTCGGTCGGGTCGGTGAGGGTGCCGGCGACGAGGTTGGCGGCGCAGGCGTAGACGGAGGGGAGGTCGCAGAGGTCGAGCTGGGTGGAGAGCAGGTGGACGCGGGCGAGTGTGTCGTCGGGGTCGTAGTAGGAGGAGCCGGCGCGGGAGCGGAGGGCCGGGGAGGTGGTTGCCGTGCGGCGGAGGTGTTGGCGGAGGGCCTCGACGGACTCGCGGGACTTGCGGACGGAGCGGGTGGTCGGGATGAGGATCAGGTGGGAGGTTAGGGGCCGGGTCGCGAGGAAGTCGTCGATGAGGCGTTCGCAGATGCCGAGGCCGACCCCGCTGGTTTTGCGATTGCTGTCAGCTCATTGTGTTCTCTGTCCGAGGCCCGAGGAGAGTAGAAGCTGGCAATGAAGAGCAAACTTCGAGAAAGGAGGGACGGGCTGTGGTAGTTCACCTGTTTGCGCCGGTGACCAGCACGAAGAGCTGTTCGCGGGGAGGGACCTTGTCCCAGGGCGCTGCGATCATCTTGTTTGCTGTGGAGGTCGTTTCTCAATTGATTACAAAATACGAGTAGATGGAAGAAATAGAAGAGATCCCCGTGTTCGACAGCCGCGCGCGGGGTGAATGAATGACGAGGAAGAGAGGGGAAGGGAGAAGAAGCGAGCGTTGAGGGGGAAATTGGTGGTGTTGGTGGTGGGATGTTTGGCGGTGAGTCTCGACTTGTACAAATTTCGGACGGAAAGTCAAAGATCAAAGGGGGGTGGGCGCGGCGCCGGCGGGACGGGAAGCTTAGTGAGATACCTCAGAGAGGTCACTGCCTATTTGGGAAATTTGTGGTGTGTGCCACAGGGCAACGGCCGCCCGCCGTCCCAGCGGGTCCCCGGGAGCGTCTGGTCCTCCGGGGGCCGGTCTCTCGTCTCAATCTTTTAGGTACCTTACCGTAAGTTGTTCACCATGAACGTCCGAGAAATGAGGCGCAGCTCATAGTGAATGCGTCAACGACACCTACAAACCCCCGTGAACATGCGCCGGGACAACAACTTCCAGATGGTGCCACCCTGATTAGCGTACCCAAGATTTGAGAGATCTGGACTGTCAGCGAATTACGAGCCCGTCAGATCCCGGTATGCAGGTCCCAGAGGGCCAATCCCGCGGTCGGGTTCTCATTGGTTTGTGGTGTTTGCCGCGTCAAAAATGAGCCGAGCAAGCCGAATGATGGGTGAGGAAACCGAATACGGATGCGAAGGGATTATCGAGATTCCGGTCGGGATTTCGTGATAGTGCAGGAATGAAGGTGGCAGCTAGTTTACTTCTTACATGAGTGATAATTATCTCTGGCTATCTGGAAGAGCCGATATTGCCCTTTTTCGCCATGAATGCCTTGTGATCCAGAGAGACCATCCCAGAGGACCAAGAGATAATGTCTGCCATGAGTCGAATATGTTATAAAAGCGAGCACAGTGGGCACCGGAAGTGGCCTTTCCACAAGCTGCCTCGGCGTGCCAAGTGCACGCGCGCGAGACGTTGAATTGCCGAGTATCACCAGTGGTAGTGATACCGATGGGTTGTTGAAGGTGTTCGCAGTACAGGTCAGGAATATCGGGCATCTTGAAGTCGTCTTTCAATACCTCCTGGTCGGCGGTAGTGTCTTGAGTATAGGAAGTATTCATGAATAACACTCGCAAGGCGGCAGGCAGAACCGGAAAAGGGGCAGACATGTGACGAGGGCAATGTACTAGGTGTGTTGGCTAGGTAGTTGCTTATCCGCGAACTCATGACTTTGCCCTGCCTTACGTGGAATTTAGCATGCGATGGGAAAACAGGATAGATCGCAACTCGGGGCTTGCTTTCCTCTAGGCACAACGTTCTCAACTGGTTATATATATATATATAGTAGTCAAAGAAAATGGCACTTAAGCTTAGAGTCGTTCTTACCGCCTGAGCATTAGGCAATTCCGGTCACTCTCCTCAATCAACTCAATCAACTCAATGTGACCCCAGTCAGGTGTCGTAAGCGAGATATTCTTCGTCAAACGGCGCTCGGGGCTGGAGAAGATTTGATTGGCTTGATTGCTTTGCAAAACGTATTGCTCAATCCGTCTCACTTGCCACACGTGATTGGTGGACGATTAGCTTGAGAATGATCAACATGGTTGAAACGTCTCACTTCACTGCAACTCACTCACTTCACATCCATCTCACTTCGTCAGCAAGAAAGCCATTCCATGAAGTCCAGTTTTGAGGCACTAAACGAATTCATGTTGGTATTAAAATTACGAAAACGCGATAATGCAAAAAGTAAAAGTGAGTGCCTCCTTTTCTTTTACCCATCATCTTCACACTTTATCTGCTCACAACTCACGCGGCCTTGCAGAGGCGGCCGTCGCCCTGCACCTCCCAATCATCGCTGCCGACACCCGTCAGAGCGTAAAACGTGCTGCAAGGGTCGTAGAGCTTCTTGATCGCCTTGAGCTTGGCGTAGTTTGCGCTGCCGTAGAACGTGGACTGGAAGTCGACCTCGTTGCGGTCCGCCTCGTTGAGGTACGCGCCGCCGCCGGGCGTCAGCGCCTTGAGGGCCGGGATGAGCGTGTCCGTGACCGTAGTCTGGCCCGAGACGAGGGTGGAGAAGTCGGTGCGGCTGTAGGCACTTTATCACGACATGTGTTAGTAATGGGCTTTTCCTCAAGTGAAAGCAGTAGGTGGTTGAACTCACGTTCCCACGACGGCGGAGAAGAGGGCGGTGCGCCAGGCCGGGTTCACCGAGTTGGCGACGGCGTTGGCAGCGCGGGCGACGTTGATGGTGAGGCCTGAGATAATGCCGCCGTTGCTCAGGATGCTTCTGAGCGCGGTCATGAGGCTGGCCGCGGAGGCGTCGTCGGCGACGAGGGTGCGGGGCATGAGACGGCCGCCAATGTTGAACTCGGTCACAGCGGGCTCCGGGTTCATGTCGTTGTAGCTGTCCAGGAAGTTGGTGTACTGACCAATGTTGAAATCTGCGGCATGTGTTAGTATCTTTTGCTCTCTCAATTCTGACTCAGGACTCTAACTTACCATAGGTGATACCGGCAGTATCGAGAGCGTCAAGAGTAGGCTGCAGCAGAACCTGGAGCTCTTCCTTGGTCTTGTTGGGCAGAGTCGTAGGCTGCATCTGGAAAACGCCCGAGGCGAGGAGCCAAATGCTGACGGCACCGGCGTCGACAATGTCGGGGAGGGTCTTGAGGTAGGTCGTCACCGCACCGTAAAACACATCGTCCGTAACACCAGAGTTGGTGAAAGTCAGGTTGGCCGACGAGACAATGGTGTCGGCGTAGGCCTTGACCGTCATGGACAAGACGGCCGCGTAGACGCCGCCACCGCCGCCAGAAAGCGCCCAGTACAGGTCCGAGTTGGAAGTCGGGGTCGCGACGAGCGTCTTGCCGCCCGAGGTGACGACCTCCCACTCGAGCACCTGGTCGGCCGCGAGTCCGTACTTTGAGACGAGGGGCCCGTGGCCGCCGCCCTGCGTGTAGCCTCCCGCGATGCCGACGGTAGGGCTGTTACCGCCCACGACAACGAGTCCCTGGGCGTGCGCAGCGGACTGGGCCTCACCGGCCTGGACGCCGGCGCCGAGCTTGAGCGCCTTGCCGGTGTACGCGGTGGACTTGTAGTCGAGCACGCTAATGTCCTTCAGATGGTGCGTCCAGAGCGCGAGGGCGCCGGCACCAGTGGACTTGCCGAGGTAGTCGTGGCCCGTGTTACGGATGACGAGACGGATGTTGTAGTCCTGCGCGAAGCGGATCGTCTTTGCGTAGTCGTCGGCGCTGGCGGCCTTGACGGCGTACTGGACGTAGGTGCCGATGACGCAGCGGTCCGTCTTGGCGAGGAACGGATCGCAGCTCTGGTTGGCGAAGAAGGCGGCCATGACGGACGACGAAGTCTGGATGTGCGTCTCGGAGGCGGACCAACTGTTCTGGAGGGCGGTGCACTTGGCCTCGTCGTAGGCGCCAAAGGTGCTGTCGTGGCAGACGGCGCCGATGGGGATCGTGGCGATGAGGCGGCCGCCGACTGTGGTGTTGAAGGCCGACCACTCAGCCACCGTCGGCCAGCATTCTTCGCCGGGGAAGCAGCGGCAGTCCGTGGCTCTCTGTGCGATGTCGTGGCCGCCGAAGAACGGGCCTCCCGGTCGGATGCCGGCGCCCGGTCCTGCCCGGCCGATGGAGAAGGCCGAGACCGCCGCGGGCGCGAGGGCGAGCAAGCTGAGGAGAGACACCATTTTGGAAAAGGTGAGGGGGTCACAATCACTTGCTGTCACACAAAGTGAGAGGAGAGGGAGGTAGGGAGGGAGGGCGAGAAAGAATGACTGGAGGTTGGAGGTGAGGAGAGAAAGAGACCTCTCTCACGATGCAACACCAGCGCTTCGATGCTACATATTTAACAGGCAGGTCACGAACGACGGAACCAAGAGGCATCAACAACACGAAATGAGACTACCGGTTACAGCCAGGAAAGCTGACGATAGTTTGATTACCACCCATGCCAATATTGACTACGATGGCCCACGAATACTAGCCGCCCACGCGAGCAGTTGTGGGAAGGAAACTTTTAAGCTATCGAGAAGATAGGGCCCCCGAACGGTGAACCAAGCATGTGCCTGACTCTTCACCCTGCGAGACCTTGAGAAGGGCCGGGAGGGCTATGAGAATCGGTGGAAAGATTGGACAGAATGGGACAAAATGGGGACGGGTTGCCGCGTGTCCCTCCTTTCGAAGCCTCAAGGGGCCGGCCGGGGCCAAGAGGTCGCGAGTTCGATTCGATGGATGGCTCCGAAAGATGAGGGGGAATAGGAATATACCTCAAGGTCAACCTTCCGGAAAGGCCAACGCCTACAGGCAAACTCCATTCGCCGTCTCGAGTTGCGGGGACTAATCACGCGTTTGTTAGAACTTGGCGAGACGGTTTCGACGATTCCAAGCACAACTCATGTAAAGCTAATATAGGCAGGTAGTATCGCCGGTATTCTCATCTAGGGGTTGTCCCTGACACGAACGGTTGCTGGCAAGCAAGGATGAGCCGTCGTCATCCATGGCCCGTCTGAGGTTTGGCAGCAGGAAGTTGAGAAAGCCGCACTAAACTGACTAACAGCCGTGCATATCTGGGGGACTCTGCAGGGGAGATTTCCCGTGGAAACGAACGACGTCCTGTCCGTTCCTGCACAGCAAACCACATTCGGCAGACTGCAGACTGAAGAGGTCGGCCGCCCGCAACCATGAGGGCGGTACTGGGACTAATGCCTGTCAAGTGTCAACCGTTCATCCAACATGTGCGGTTACAACTTACAAGGACCTGTAAAGGTGGGCACTGCGCAGCAATGGGACCGTGGAGGCACCGTGGAGGGTGTACCCCGGGTGCTCCGGGTCGACGGACGCCACCCGAGGCCGGACGGAAACCAATGGTCCGGCCGAAGACAACCTCGTGCAACAACACCCTTCTTGAGTACCTTGTTACCTGGGGGGTTAACGAGGTCGAATCCAACTAATCAGTAATCACTTGAGTCAAAAAACAACTCTCCACGATGATCGACTAGTTGCCAACGACACTAGGAACGAAGAAGGGGGGAGGGAGGCAGCCAAGTGATCCTCCCGCTGCGCGGTTTTCCTAGTCGCTTTGGAGTTTCGACGAGTCAATTTCCCAATCTACATGGCGTCTCTAACCACCGTTTACTGTGCACGGAAACGTTTAGAGCTACGACGGTTCATCTATCCGTACTAGCCTACTTACAAAACACACGCAAAAGTCAAGTAACGCCCCTGGCGCCGCGCTTGCAATCCTGGGCCCCCGCGGCCCGCTCCCTGCCAGCGCTTGACTCGTGATCCTTGTCCAACTTCAAAAAGAATCACGCACATCAAGGGTTCAAGGATACTAGATAGCAGCATCTCTTTCCAAGTCCATCTGCCGACTCTTAGCCGAAGCGGTGCTCTACGAAGACCCCGTACGGTTGTCACTTATCTTCCGAATGACTCGTACAGCCTCCAAGGATTCTCAAGTTCCAACAACCAACTCCTTCAAACGGAAACTCTGCATACACAATAATGACAATTTGCTCTCTCTGTCACCTGAATCCGTACTCCGTAAACTGCAGGTGATGTCCCCCCGCCTCCCGGGCTCCCCTTCATTCCACGTGCTGCGACGCCAACGACACGAAACCGTCACCGACGAGGGGCAGGGAATACAGACAGACCGTCCACAGGCACCACAGCTTCCACGCTCTGGCGTCCGTTTCCGGGGTCCGCGTCCGCAGCACCGCCGCGACGACCATGGCTCCCGACAACGTGGGCAGCAGCACCGCCCACGACGACCGGATGTGCCAGACGTAGACGCACACGCACGACCAGAAGGGGACCAGCACCGCGAGCGACGTCCGCGAGACCCTGTCGCCAAAGTATAGGGGCACCGTCGCGCGGCCCCGTCCGCGGTCGCCCGCCTGGTCTTTGAGGTCCTGCACCTGCATCGTCGTCAGGATGGCCGCGCTGATGATGCCCGCCCACACGTACCCGTCGTGGGTGATGGTGATGGGTACGCGTACGTCGTCTGCTGCCCCTGCTGCTGCTTCTGTGGCTGCTGCCCCGCCGCTGATGGCAATCTTGAGGGAGGCCGTGTTGAAGAGAAAGTAGGCGACGGCGATGATGGCGTCCCGGACGAGCTCGTCGCCCCCGCGGAGGTCATTGTACAGCCAAGTCAGGATCAGGATGAAAACGCCCTCCTTCCAGACGTCCAGCACGTAGTTCAGGGCCAGCACGGCGGGTATGGCCACGAGCATGGCCTTTCGAGTCTGCTCGGGCGTCACCTTGCCCGCCGGTATGGGACGCCAAGGCTTGTTCGCGAGGTCCTCGGCCACGGATTCGGGCCCCCTCTGGTTGGCCAGGTCGAAGATGAGCACGCTGTACCAGTTGAAGGCCACCACCAGAGGGAAGCGCTGGACGATGGAGAGCGTGGCTGCGTGGCCCGAGGTCAGGGGCGCGCCGGTGAGCCCGCCCAGGAGGCCAAAGGCCGTGTTGGGTACGACGAATGTGGCAAAGTTGCTCTCGGTAAAGTCCCAGATCAGACGAGGTATGCGAAGGACCTCGGTGAAAGTGGAGGAGGAGCAGGAGGAAGAGGATTTTGTGCTGCTCGACGTGATCTCGTCTTCAAACGAGGCGTGTTTGAGCGTGAGGGGACAATTCTCCCCGAGGCTGCCTGAATGCTGCATGATGATATGATGGGCCCCGTCCTGCGGTCTGCTAACGAACTTGGCTTCTAGCAAGAAAGAAGTAGATGAAGAATATGCTGCAAAGTTGAGATCCGACAGTTCGGTTTGACACCTGCGGTTTGAAGCAGGACAGACACAGAGAGACCCTCTTTGACATCTCCTGACATCAAAAAAGGGGGCGATCATGGCCCATTGATAAAGGCCCGCCGAGCGTTGACACGATCAACAACATCGTCGGCCTCGGGATACAGAGGCCTCGTGGCGAAACCCATTCACCGCTCTCATGATTCAGACTCATCCACCTTTCACAACACATGCCGGATGCCCCCAACTTCCAGTCTGGATATTTGCCTCTATCGACGAATGTCTAAATTGTTAGGCGGTACTTGGAAGCTGGCCCCGGTCATGTCAAGGACGCATGTTCAAGACCCAATAGCCTCGGGAGCCTTGAAGATGGGACTTTGGAGGGATCTCGCGGAGAGACGGTTCACTCCATGGCTGTGACTTGAACGGCAGGCAATACATATGCAATATGTAGCGACCCCTGAACGATCATACCCGGCTCCGGCTGAGCGATATACCTCGCGCGATATTGAATCACACACTCGGCCGCGGATCACAGACGAAGTCGCGGAAGAGGTCGCGAAGCCAACCAGAGGCCAGAGTTTAAACCAGATGTCGTGGTGAAAAGCAAGGGATCCCTCAAGGAAACGTTCCCTGAAGCGGTTTCCGTTTAAGAGTCGTAGCATTCCCGCTGGACTGGGGATGTAAGAAAACTGGTAACCGGAAGAAGACGAAGCTGCATCGTGAAAGTCTAAAAGATGCCAATTCTTGGTTAATGCCCTTGAGTTCCACTCTCCACCGGTACGCGGACTCTGGATATTGGGCTATGTATACATCTAGTGACACACGAGTTTCGATCCAGACTCTTGTGATCCATAAGAGATCGGGAAGCGGTGGTGCTACGTTGATGTCGTAGTGAAAGTAGTGAAAGCAGTGCAGGTTGATTGCATCTCGACCCATATTCCAGGTCTCACGAAACCTCACGTGTGTACGGTGTGTTGACCACGCAGCGAATGAGAGTTTAACGTTATATTAAAGAGGCAGGTACACTTTTATGTGGATACGTTCTACCCTTACTTGGGTCCAGTCGTTCTCGCAAGGTGCTCGGATGTAAACTCTGAAGAAAAAAGGCTCGCGAACCTCGTCTGTGAGTTCCCGTTACCTTATCCGACCTGACTCCAGTCTGTCCCCACGCGTGTAACTCTAAAAGGCGTGAGAACCAAAAGCTTCTTCCTTGCCGGAACCAGTAATCAGCCACTGAACACGAAGAGGGTCTTGGTCTTGGTCTTGTCCTTCGTCCTTTGATGAACTTGGCTGCCCACTACCGGCGGGATGGGGCTCGGCGTATGGCAGATAGTGTGATACAGATTGTCCCCCATTCCCTCCCCTCGCCGCGGAGCTGGGTCGATGTTGTTGTCGTCCCAACTCCCAACTCTACCCTTCTCGTGGATTCCCGGGATTCCCATGTCTCTGGTCAGGAACGCTGTCTGGGCGTTCCTGGGCGAGTAAGAGTCAGGCGTGCCGCTTTCCGAGGAGGAGTGATCGACACGGACACCCAGGGAGGTCTGGCTGCAAGTAATTGTGAAGCCCTGATTTATTGGAAAATCTCCCGGAAGTCTCTCCAGAGTGTGTACGATGTCTGCAGGTGCAAACACTATGTATGAGACGCTCCCGAGGCTGCTTAACTTCAAGGTGTAATGCGAAGGTTCGAATATTTCCCTTAGTGATTAATGAGGAAATATTGTGATAAGTGAAGACACAAAGGAACACTATATAGTTACAAAGTAAAATGGTACGTCAAGAAGTGTACATATCTCATATCTCGAATAAATTTCATCCATCGGCCGTAACTCCCCGTTTCCTTCCCTAACCCCCGATCCCAGTCTCCGGACTCAAGCCTGCGCCCCTCGCTTCCAAGTCTCCTGCGACGCAATGTCCTGATGAACATAGATGACGGGCCTGCTACCTCTGGGGGCCTCGGCTCCTGGCGAGAACTGACACTTTGTCGTCAGCTCGGCACGCTCGAGGTCCACAACGGAGGTATTGTCGCCAAGTTTGTCGTACGTTCGACGGGGGTGGCGGATGCTGTGGCCGCCGCTGCTGCTCGTCAAGTCCTTGAGGTTGATCTGGCCGCCCTTGTCCGTTGACGGGTTTGTCAGCTTGGAGCCGAATTTGGAGACGGCCGGCTTGACATAGGTCTTGAAGAGAGGACCCAGGGTCGGCAGACATGCGATGATGATCCCGATCCAGAGCTCGAGGAGACTGACGAGGCCGATGTCGTGCAGGTTGTAGACGAAGTCGAGGTCGCCGATGGTGGTGACCGTGTTGACTAGACGCCAAATCATGATTGCGATTGTTCTGGAATGTAAAAGTTAGCTACTGCCTAGGGCTCTGTAGAAAGAATAGAAGGAGACAACTTACGCAAAACCCATGCCAAACATGGCACTGACAGCGATCTTGTTCCTAAGGGGCATCTGAAGACCCCAAAGCGCCGGCATCGGCAGCGCAGTCATAGCGATGTCGACGACGATGTTGATCGTCACCGAGACGAGCTGGTCGACGGTGATATCACGGCAGTGGCCACCTTCTACCGGTGCCCACTGCTGAGACATTGGCGAGCATCTACTCATGAAGAGAATGAGAAACGCGACACCGTAGGCGCCCGTCACGCCCATGAGTATATGCGACCAGCGCTTGAACTTTTGCGTGGAGAAGATTCTGGTGTACAGCCACAGGATGGCCATCTTGATGAAGACGGTTCCCAAGAGCCATGTAACACCACTGGCGAGGATGAGCTGTAAGAAAGCAAGTGTTAGGGATGTGAAGTCAGTATATGAGACGAGATGTCTAACTTACCTTGAACTGAACAGCATACTCGTCCAGAGTCAACTCATTGGTGTGTTTGCCCAAGCCATTGTAAATGGCCCAAATGACAACGCCCTCTAGCGCAACAATGTTGGCCTGCCATGGTCAGTCCTGTGTCAGAGAAGGTAGGAGTGATGGACTTACAAAGGCGAAGATGATCATTCCATCATCCCAATAGAATGATCTCCTCATCACCCTCGCTGACCAAGCTCGCAGACATAAAAACGAGGCATCAACAACGGTAAAGACAACAATCCATACTAAGAGGCTAATGCCTCTTGAACCGGCACCAGGCATGATGGACGAAATGTGATTCTGCTCTTCAAAGTGTGAAATGCGATTGGGTCCAGTCAGTTTGGTCTACTGCCTTAGCTTCGGATGCCAACAAGCAGTGAGAGAGAGTTTCCGGATACCAGCCCGATAGACATCCGCCCTCGCGGCACAGCACGCGCGGGGGATGCCTTCATCTCTTATGGGGGGTGCGGGAACGACGCTCATCGCATCGAGAAGCCGCCGGGTGCCATGCCGCCACCCTGCCTTGGCTTCTTCTTCTTCTTCTTCTTCTCTCTCCCACACTCTCTTTAACTCTCATCCCACAAAGACGAAACGTGGTTCCCGCGTCTATCAATCACGGCCAGGAATCCCCAAAAAAGAAGTGGACGAAAGGGTGAGCTAGACGATGAGACACAAGTCGATGTCACCCTACTCTGCGGTAGTTCCCAGCTTATTGGTGTGTCTGCCGGCCACTTTGATACTAGTTTGAGAATGAGAGTGAGGAATGGCCATGTAAGTATGACAGAATGTACTTTGCACTACTTTGCCGAACCATGCTTCCCTCCCTCTTCGGCTCCTCCTCCTGCACGTAACCCAGTAGGTAAGCCTGCCTGGCGAGGCTTCTGCTCATCTGATCGAAGGGAGACAAGATGGGATGGCATGATTCAGTAGGAGTGTTCTGAACTTCCGCGCTTGCATGACACTGCATTCTTTCATCCCATTCCTCCCCACTCACACTCTAACACTTACCACTTTCTGGTTACTGTGCAGGCTTGCAAGTAGCGATAGTTGAACAGTAATAGACAATGGTTCGTGGCAGTCGTCGTCTTTTAGGACCAACCACCCGCCTGGTGTTGCTGCACGTGTGGGTAATATCGATAGGGAACCATGCTCTTCCCACATGACTGTCCTCTTCTCAGATGTGATCGGGAACTCGTCATGTACGTGATAGAGAAACTCCACAGCCTCATTAACCCTCAAGGGTTTGCCAAGTTACAACTTACCAGTCCCAAAGTCTTGTCCGGTCTAACGAGGGTCCCCCCCTCCCCATGGTATGATGGGACTCTGAGAAGACTTGGCCTCCCCGCTCTACCATTTTCATTGCAGGGGTCCAACCGTTCCCCAGTCTATTCAAGAGTCTCGAGGTGTGGGGGGAGTTTCAAAGTGGAGTTTCTGCAAGTTGATATATCAAACTTTCAGAGACCCTTGTCAACGGGCCATACATAGCAGACCGAGTCCCACAGAAACCACAAAAGCAACCATGTGAAAGACGAAGACTGTCTTCAGCAAAGCTGCACCTGCCACCCACCGCTGCGCCGCGCATTTGTTAACCCGTTTGGATGCAATGCTTCCCACCACGGGGGTTGTCTGGCAGTCTACACCTTCTACCAGGGGGAAAGCGTGCATACGTTGCCTTACCTTGACGGCCATGGTGATGTTGCAACGAGGCTTACGTTTATCCCGCTTCCGGTAATTATGCAAGGCACAGGTGTCAGTTCGTTGCTCATCTCAGGTTTCACCAAAGTCCCCGACTAGCCGGTGGATGCGACGCCTGTTCTTACTGAGTAGCTTGTCTACCGGTCAGCTATCTGCATCCTTCATCAGAAGGTGAGCAGGCAACATCGCCGTCCAACCAACCAACCGGTCAGTCAGAGCCATGGCGTCTTCAACGGTGCGAGCTGCGCCGCAACGCTGCATATCACGGAGTTTGTAAACAAAGTCCCGAACTTTTGAGTCTTAGCTCAGCTCAATGAGGGAGAGAGGGGGGATAAAAAGACAGGGCCTAGCTCGCGATAGCTCGAGACTGTTTCTGGCATTCCCGTTACTTACCCCACGCTTCACTCAATCTATCCATACATCCAGCATCGCTCTCTGGCTTCGCTGAAATCTTGTATCTCGCCACTTCCAAGGCTGACGCTACATATTCCCGTTCTCGGCTCGACCGTTTCTCCTTCTTCTCGGTATCCCAATCCAATATCGCTCAAAAGAGTCAAGATGCAACCCCCTCTGCCCTCCGTCACGCCGACATGGCGCAACGACACCTACGAGGCTATCTCGCCCTCCCGCCCGGAGCTCAGCGCGGCGGGGAAGACGGTCATCGTGGCAGGCGCGGTAAGTTCCACGATATACAATTTTCTCTTCCTTTCCCCTGGTTGTGAACATCGACCCTCGCCCAGCCCCCATCCACGGCCGCTCTGTGATGACCTCTCGCCTCCAAATATGCCTGGCCATGATCCAAAAAGATCGGAGCTTTTGGCCCTCCCCCGTCACAACTCTATATCGCGCCAGTTCTGTGTCCGCAATATATCCGCACGGGTACCTTACTTACCTAGGAACCTCTCTATTGACGCTTTGTCCTTCTCTTGATAGGGTAGTGGAATCGGCCGAGAGACCGCCCTGGCCTTTGCTGCTGCCGGGGCCGCTCGAGTCAGTCTCCTGGGCCGCACAGAGGCCGCCATAGCCGAGACGGCCGCCTCCTTGCCGTCGTCTGTGCAGAGTGATGTTCACGCCGTGGACATCACTGACGAACAGACGTTGATCAAGGTGGCAGCCGCGATCGGCAAGTGGGATATTCTTGTTTTGGCCTCTGGCTATGTGTCCAGCCCGTCGCCCGTCGCGGGGTCGGCTACCGATGACTGGTGGCAGAGTTTTGAGGTAAATCAGACTACCCTTAACGAAGATAGTTCTCTGTCTCTCTCTCTCTCCACACAAGTTGACAGCGAGGAAGAGATAGAGAGAGACAGGGAGTGAAAGTGAATGAGAGGGCCCGAGCACTTACACCTACCTGACAGACAAACACCAAAGGAACATACCTCGTCACCAAGGTGTTCCTCCCCACGGCGAACCCTTCGCATGCGTCCATCGTCGCACTCACTACCGGCACAACGGCGTTGCCGGCAGTCGCCTTGCCTGGTCTGTCCGCCTACATGGCGTCCAAGCTAGCCCAAACGAAAATCATCGAGTTCCTAGCGGCGGAAAACCCGAACATCTTCGCGGTAACCCTTCACCCGGGCATGGTCGAGACCGACATCTTCACCAAGAGTGGCGCCAAGGCCGAAGCTCTCCCCATGGATAAAGGTGCAGTTCCATTGTCTTTTTCATACTAGGCTACGACCCTTCCCTCCCCTGTCCATCCATCTGCCCAGATTTCCCTCTCCGTCCCGACACTCCCCTCCACTCGCTTCCTCTCCCCCCCCTTCATCAATCCCCTGCTTCTCCTTCCCGTTGCAGCTCTAGCGGGCCGAATTAGGTGCTGACATCCCGCGCGCTGGCTTGCAGTCCAACTCCCTGCCCACTTCACGGTGTGGCTGGCAAGTCCCGAGGCGGCGTTCCTCAATGGTCGTACGGTTTGGGCCAACTGGGACGTCGAAGAGCTCAAAAAGGGTACCGGCGCGATCCAATCTGGTCAGCTGCTGACCAGCGGTATCAATGGCTGGCCATACACTAGCCTTGCTTGAGATAGCTCCGGAATAGACGATAGCAACCTCGTACATTGTTCACCATGTTCGCCCAGAGATAGCCCAATATATCAATGTTCTTACGTATGAATAATCAGGGCCTCGGCATTGGAGATACATTTGTTGAATACTATGAAGGAAAAACGAAAAATGATACGATTTACTTCTTGGTGCCTTGGCTAAACTCTAAGTGACTACATACTTATTTTGTCTAAACATAGCATGATCACCTTAACTCGAAACACAGCGACAGGGGACCCGGATTGGAGGTGAACTGATCCCTCACGTCGTCAAAGACGCGGTTGCCCGTCTCTCCTGGTGCGAGGCGGAAATGGTACTTCTTCACAAGTCTGGCAACAACAAATCTCATAGTGTCGGTGGCCAGGAAACGACCAAGACAGCTGTGGTGGCCTGCAGTAGACGGATTAGTCGACCAAAAGCTATCAGATAGCAGACAAAAGACAAAGGTCGCCATACCTGTTCCAAATGGCGCAAAAGCTGCAACATTGCGGATCATCTCTGGCCGCGTACTCCATCGCTCAGGGATGAATTCGTTGGCGCGCTCGAAGCAATCCTCCCCTGTAGATAATATGTGAGCTGAGAACTGACGAAAACCATCCTCTACGAATCTACTTACTTCGGGATATAACGTGACGCGGGGCAATGATTGTCGTGTCGGGCGGGATGAAAGTCCCACCGATCGTGGCCCCGTTCTCCGTCGTCTTCCTAGCCCCGCCGGTGAGAAGGGCTGGGTACAAGCGGAGACCTTCGTTGATGACAGCATTGAGGTGCGGGAGGCTCGTGAGCGTCTTAAGGTTGGTAGCGTCGACGTCTCTCAATTCTTCATAGACCTTCTCGGCGTGCTCAGGGTGCTTAGCCAATTCGCAGAAGATACCAATCAAGGCAGCAGCCGTCGGCTCGCTGTATGTTTGTCAATAAGTGAGCGTCCACGAGCTTGGAGGAATCGACTTGCCTTCCAGCAACAATTGCGAGCAAGCTGTCGCCATAAAGCCACGGCAAACGATCCTTGAGCTCAGTCTGGCCGTCGTTCAGCTCCATCAAGTAGTAGGCGAGATCAGGAACGGCTGGCTTAGGAGTTCCTTCATCAAGTCTAACACGCATCTGTTGCTCACACCAGGCGACCATGTCGAACCAGTCCTTGAGAACGCTGATTCGCGGTCCCAGCTTGAAGCCGACCTGGATGAGCCATGGAGCAGGGCTGAACGGTCCAAGCAGCGAGAGAGCACGCTGCAGCCGCACGATGATGTGGTGCCACTGCTGCTGGTGCAGCATATCAAACGACTTACTGAAGACAAAATCTCCCATGACATCAAACCCGAACCAAAAGAACAGGTTCCGCACTTCCGAAGCAACGTGTGCTTTGGCATCCGCCTCGATGCAGACGTCCAGCTGCTCAATATACTTGAGAATCTTTGACTCGTGTTGAACAAGGGCTGTTGTGCGGTACGGCTCGTTAGAGATAGGCTCATGATTCCGAAGATCTATGGGGTAAATACCTTGTGCCGAAAATCCACGGTTCCATTCACGCCGTCTGGCAGCATGAATGGGCTTGATGCGTGTTGTCACAAGCGCACGATCGGGGTGCAGAATGTCGTACCACTCAGACTTGATGCATTCAGACCGGGGACCATCTACAGCCATGAAGACTCCTGGGTGGAAAACAGTGATTTCACTGGGGCCTGGCTAACCTATCAACAGATGGTTCAGACAAGCTTGTTTCGGATGACCACTTACCTGTCCTCACGAAGTCTCCATACTGCTCGTGTAAATCTTCCAAGAGCAGATGATTTTTGCAGCCTCTGCAGGCCCAGACGTGCCACAGCTTGGTGACTCGGGCGTACCATGGTCCTTTGAAGCCAGCAGTTGACAAACGATGGAAGTAGGATCTGTAGAGGATGATACTGGTAAAAAGTCCAGGCAAGTACCCAGCTGATAGTGTCAAGAGAGAGTGGCATAGATCACCAACAACTGAGCCCTTGTAGTAACGGCTGAGAGCCACGAAACAAGAGAACAGCCAGAAGTGACCCAGAGCAATTTGAGGAGCCTGTACATGCCATTCTCCGTGAATAAAAATACCCAAGTGAACGGCGACGCCGCAAAGGAGGCCAAGGACGTAGAACAGGACGGCCTGGTAGCTTGAATCGAGAAGAACACTCATGATGAAGTTTGTGTGTTGCACTTGGTCACTTACATCCACCTCGAGGCGCTCTTCTCTTGAAGTCTACCACCGATAACTCGTCCTGAGTCCGGAATCGATAAACATCCGCCAGTCGAGCAGTCATCGAAACCCGACATGATGCCTAGTGCCATCCTCGGCTGGGTCCAGTCCATCCCTCGACAATCTGTCGTGAGTTACCTGAGGGGTAACAGCATGCCACAGGAACTGACTAGTGTCCAATAACTGGGATGTAAACCAGCACGCATCGTAACGTCTGCCATTCCATCCCAGAGGCCGTACTCGTTGATCAAAGGTACATAGTTGAATATCGCGCCGCGGTGATCATGGGTCATCCCGATAACCTTGATATCCGGAAACCGACCGGGTTGTCCCTTGACGGTCGTTGACCGGGGGTCCAGGGAAGTGAGAGGGTCTGCGTCCCAAACTGTCATACCCCTGATGCAGAAACAAAGTCGTAAGGATGCAACCCTGCAGTGGAACCTGCTTGAACGGTACCGGAAACGGTTGGCCGGCTCAGTGTCGTATGTTGGTGCAATACGGCCGCCCGCGGGGGAGATGCCGGATGGGCGCTCGGCGCTACGGCGACTAATGCTTTGCCGCAATCCTACACAATCTTAGACGTCTCGGGCTCGGAAACCTGCCATGATTTAACAGTCACCGAAGTTCCAACGAAGTCTTTTGCTCTTGCAGAATCACTCGTATCGCGTTACTCATCATACCGTCTCTCAAAATGGCTGCAAAATACGACTTTATCATCGTGGGTGGCGGCGTCGCCGGCTTAGTAGTTGCCACTCGTCTTTCCGAGATCCCAAATGTCCAGGTCCTAGTGCTCGAAGCGGGCGAAGACCAAACGGCAGACCCTCGAGTCAATATTCCCGCACTGGGTCCCAGTCTTGTCAAAACGCCCTCTGACTGGCAGTTCCGAACGGTGCCCCAAGTAAGTGTTTCTCAGACCAGCAGCTGCTTTCTGGGAGTCCGCTTTACTGATAGTGAATCGCTTGCAGGATGGCCTAGGTGGTCGTGAGATTGCTGTCCCTCAAGGTCGTCTCCTTGGTGGCTCAGGTGCACTCAATGGCCTCTCCTTTACTATCACCACCCGGTCCAACGTTGAGGCGTGGGCCAGCTTGGGCAACCCCAGCTGGGACTGGCCTACGTTCAATGAAGCCTCCAAGAAGGCCTACTCCATCGCTTCTGGTGAGGGCACAGGGCCACTGAAGTTGTCTCTGCCGGACAACGTCGAGTCTTTCTGGCCCAAAATCTGGCAAGATACGATCCGTAGTCTAGGCTTCCCCGATTCTTGTGACCCCTTGAGTGGGCAGGGAGTCGGCAGCAGTCTCACACCGGACACTATAGACCCGGAGACAAAGCAGAGGAGTTACGCCGGCAGCGCGTATCTACAGTCGGCAAAGTCTAGAACCAACTTGACGGTTGTGACCGGAGCGTTGGTAGAGAAGATCGTCTTCAGATCAGAGGCTGGCGAAATTGTTGCCGATGGCGTTCAATACACCAAGGATGGAGAGACAACAACAGCAAAGGCACAGAAGGAGGTTGTCTTGACTGCTGGCACCCTCAACTCGCCACGGATTCTTGAGCTTTCCGGTGTTGGAAGTGGGGAGCTTCTCCGTAAACTCGGCATCGAGGTCGTTCTTGACAACCCGCATGTCGGTGAAAACCTGCAGAACCACGTCATGGTCGGTGCAAGCTTTGAGGCCCTCCCAGAGCTCGATACCATGGATGGCATTATTCGTCAGGAACCGGCTGCTGTCGGAGCTGCGATGGAGGCGTATGGTAAGGGCACTGGGCCGTTCTCGAGGAGCGGCACTGTAGCGACTGCACAGCTTCCTCTGCCCGCTGGCGAGGATGTCACCCAACTTCTTGACAAGCTGAGCGGCCCCAAAACAAGCGCGACGCCGGAGTTCACAAAGGCCCTCGAGGGATACGTGCGATCCGTCTTGACGTCGTCTTCGGAACCGTCGGGGTACTATCTGTCGTTGCCGGGATTCGCATTGTTCAGCGGAGACGGAACTATGGCAGCACCGCCGCCTGGCGAAGAGAAGTACTTCACAATAGCGCTGCTCCTCGCTCATCCCCTGTCGCGAGGGTCAAGTCACATCACTTCTGCGTCCCTTGAATCACCCGCGGTCGCCATCGACCCCGCGTACCTATCGCACCCATTCGACGTCGAGGTTCTGGCCAGACATATCCAGCTCCTGGAGAAGATCGCCGCAAGCGAGCCGCTCCGCAGTCAACTGAAGCCGAGCGGAAAGCGCAACCCTGCCAACGCCTTGACAGACCTCGACGAAGCCAAAGAGTTTGTGCGTAAGACAGCAGTTGGCGCTCATCATTTCACGGGTACTTGCTCCATGATGCCTAGGGAGCTTGGTGGAGTGGTAGATGAGAAGCTTCGGGTGCATGGAATCCGTGGCTTGCGGGTGGCTGATGCTTCCATTGTGCCCATTACAGTGCGTGCCAACCCTCAGGCAACCGTTTATGGCATCGCCGAGCGGGCTGCCGATTTGATCAAGTCGAGTCTATAAGGTGGGCGCCATTTGTAATGAAGAGAGTGTAAGGCCTCGAGTTGTATATCCAAGTTGGAAGTATCTGTAGCAATGAAGAATTTCAGTGAAATCGGGTTCTATCCCTGAGTGGGATGGAAGCAGGGATCATGAGGTGGTGAGCGCAGCAATTGAGTTTGGACAGTTACTTCGAAAGGCCATGATTGATAGACCGACTTCACTGCAGAAACATCGTCCATGGTGTCAAATGTCATCGTAGTCGCATTAAGGTTGTAGTTTGCTTGGGGTAAGAATGTCACCGGAGAATGTCACTACACTGATGGGCGGCTTGCGGCAAACGGCCAGCTGGTTGGCGGATGCTTCCCTTGAACGCGTTCCTATCGCGCTTTTAATGGATAAAGTACCGGTACTTCCGCAACCCCCACGGGAACACCCAAGCAAATGTACCTTACCAGGAAGCTACACGTGACGGCGAGCTCACCTCGCGTCCTCCAACCCGGCCGCGTCGCTAACAATTTCGCGTCAAAATCGCCTTCACCTTTCGTAATTGCCTGCAGGCTACACCCACACCGGTCTTTCTGCGCAAACAACACTCCGACAGCAAAACCTCCAGATATCGTCCTGCGTATGCCCTGACATCGACTCCGACGCACGTCAGCTCTTTAGCTCTTCTCAATTGCATGCCTCACCCGATTGCCCACCATGGCTGAACAGGCAAAGGGCTTGTTCGCAGAATGTACCTTCGCCTTCGTGCCGAGTGCCCACCTAGCTCCCAAAGAAATCAGCGAGTATGCCGGCATTGTTGAAGGTCGTGGCGGAACGGTTCTCGACCCGAGACGCGATGGCTCCCTCAGACTCGAAGCGGTTTCTCACATCATCTCCAACACCATCGACTTTCCCCAGTTCACCGAGACCCAGGCCTTCATGATCCCAGTCGTCAATACCGACTGGATCAAGGCATCAGTCAAGAAGAACAAGCAGGCACAGGTCCGGCCATACTCTCCCGATCCACGCATGTTCTTTTCCAAGGTCATCCTCACAACTGCTGGTCTGCCTGAAATCGACAAGGAGACCATCATTGGTGCTACGCTGGCTATGGGCGGCATGGAAGGCGCCGATGTGACACGACAGACCACTCATATCTGCGCTCTGACTACGGAAGATCCTAAATGTGTCATCGCCAAGGAGAAGGGCCTCAATTGCAAGATTGTTTTACCCCACTGGTAAGTCTGTAATGTCCTTGTGCTTCGAGCCACCTCTTACACATACACTAGGTTCGAAGATTGCTTCAAGCTTGGCAAACGTATACCCGAAGGCCCCTATTTGCTCCCCAATCCCGAAATTCTTCGCCACGACGAGAACCAAGGCGAAGTGCAAGCTCCCAATTACGACCAGCTCAACGGGGCGACCTCAACAAACCCCAACCATCTCAGTGATGGCCCGAGAAAACCAGCCACGATATTTCGAGACAAGGATGTCATGCTTTCAAGGGATCTCAGCATTACCCCACGATCACTGGAAGCTGTGAAGCAACTCATCAACAATGGCGGTGGCAAGGTGGTCGACAATGTCGACGATTGCGACTACTTTATTTGCCAGTATCGTGACGGGGAACAGTACATCAAGGCTGCTCAGTCAGGGAAGGACATTGGCAATCTCTCATGGCTTTACCACCTCATAACGCATAATGAATGGACGTCTCCGCTCCGCCGTCTGCTTCACTACCCGGTTCCCAAAAATGGCATCCCCGGATTCGAAGGTCTCAAGATTTGTCTCTCCAACTACGGCGGTGATGCTCGCATATACCTCGAAAATCTGATCAAGGCAACCGGCGCCACATACACCAAGACGATGAAGGCCGAGAATACACACCTCATCACAGCAAGGAGCAGCAGTGAGAAATATGAGGCGGCCAAGGATTGGAATATCGAGACGGTCAACCACCTGTGGATCGAAGAGAGTTACGCCAAGTGTGAGATGCAGAGGGTCACTGTCCCCAAGTACTCTCACTTCCCCGTTCGCACGAATCTGGGCGAGGTAATCGGACAGACCTTCTTTGATGAGTATTGCTTGCGAGAAACGTACTACCCGGGTGGTGAAGAGGGCTTGTCGCCGCAAGCGACACGGAAGCGCAAGATTCTTGAGGCTGCTCAGGAGAACTCGTACTTGCATGGGCCTGCCGAAGGGGTTGTGATTGGCAGACAAGAGGATAAGAGTGAAGAGGCTATCGACGACAGCTTCATGACGCCTATACGCCCTAAGAAAGGCGGCCGCGGAAAGGAGAATGATACCCCCTCGGAAGTGTCGACGGGAGGCCGAAGCGCCAAAAGCAAGGCTTTGACCAACCTACAGCGTATCGCCCCCGATATTGCGCTGTACGAGAAGGAGAAGAAGCGCAGCAAGGATAAGCAGGGCCCATGGGGTGGCAAGCGTGCGGCAGATCAAATTGACAGAGAAAGAGGTCGCACATCAAGCCCAGCCCAGGCAATGGAAGTGGATGAGGAGGATGAAGATTCAAGACCTTCCAAGAAGCGGAAATCATTACGTCCAGACGTGGAGATGAGGATCGTGCTGACGGGCTTCACGAGATGGGTCAATGCCAAGTCCAAGGAGGATACAGAGAGGGTAAGTCTTTTGCATTCCTTTCTTTTTGCCAGGCTAATAGGTCGCAGAGAAAACTCCGCGACATGGGAATCATGATCGTACAAGACGATAAGCCGTGCGACTATCTTGCCGCTCCCCACATGGTACGGACTGTCAAGTTCCTCAAAACCCTGGCCAAAGGGCCTACCGTACTATCGTCCAACTTCATCGACGAGGCTCTCGAAAGAGGCGAGGTTCCTGACCCCGACGACTTCCTCCTAAAGGACGAGGAAAACGAAGCCAAGTTTGGTGTCAAGCTCGAGACGGCAGTCTCGCGTGCGAGAGCGAATCTCGGGAAGCTGTTGTGGACAGTCCCCGTGTACTGTACGAACAACATCTGCAACGGACCCGAAAGCTACAAAGCCATTGCTGAGGCCAACGGAGCCATGTTCAAGCTGTATCGCGCGCGCAGCGGCACGACCATCAAGCCGACGACGGAAGAGGAGGACGGAGGCGCGCCGCCAGAGCCTGTCTATCTCCTCAGCTCCAATAGTGCCGACGAGCGGTCCCTCTGGCCCAAGTTCGAGGAGATGGCGCGCAAGGGCCATATGGAGCCACGCATCGTCGCAGCGGACTGGCTGTTGGATGTCGCCATGAAGCAGCAAGTCTCCTTTGACGACAAGTACCTCGCCAAGAACTTTTTCCAAAAGAGCCTGTGATGGTCGTTTCGCTCAGCTTGATGCCTGCTAGTTGGTAACTTTGGATTGTACATGTATATAGGCGATGGCATGGAGTTGTACTGCTTTCGGGTGAAGACCTTGGGACTTGGTGTTTGTTTACGACCCGGCTCGAGGAATAATGTGTCAACGTGGTATGTCTAGTTAGAGATTCGCAAAAGGAGACCAATGTCTCGTCGTGTTATATCATCATGAGGAGGTAGAATAGAGAGCGAGATCAAAAGAACTTTACGCCCTGCGAGTCTTCTTGTCCAAAGATCTGGGCCTTGCCGCGCTTGACCAGAATTTGTAGCGCTTTGGACAGTAAATCTGGATCGAGGCCGTGGAAATCTGTACCCACATGGAATCGCTCTTAGCTCACGGGCCCGTTCATCACGTTACGAGAGAAGAGAAGAGAGGTTGTGTGTGCCCACCTGTGCCCCTGGTACTCTCGCCCTCTGTAAGCTCATACAGCGTCAGCACGACGCCCTTTTGCGCTGTCTCGTCGATCCACCCCTCGATCGCGGCGGCCCACTCGTCGGGCGTGCGCCAGTAAACCCAAAAGACGTCCGTGCTGGCAGGTAAGGGTTCGGCGCGGCCGTCCTTGCGCATGAACTCGAGGACCTCGCGCGCGTCGGCCAGGCTGAGGCGCTTGTTGAGCGTCTTGTTGTGGAAGAGCTCCTCTGGCGCGGCGGCGGCGGAGGATGTTGCGGTCGCGGGGGAGAATGTTGTGGGTTCGTTTATCAGGGAGGAGGTGTCATTGTGGTTCGGGAGGGCGTGCGGGAGTGCGGAGGAGGAGGCGGAGGGGATGGCGGCGCCGAGGGAGAGCTTGAAGAGGCGGTGGTGGCGGCAGTAGGAGAGGATTAGGTCGGACCATTTGACGAGTTGGGCGTGGTGGGTTGTTAGGTTCGTTTGGCGGGTGAAGAAGGGGGGGAAGGAGTATTCCCTGGGGAAGGGGAAGGGGGAAGTTGTCGTTGCTGCCATTGCGTCGTGGTGGTGGTGGGTTGATTGCGGGTGTTGATGGTTGATGTTGGAGGTTTGGGGTTTCTTGTCGCGAAGAAGCGTCACTCGCCGTACCTGAGGTATGAGCACCGAGGGGTTCTCCATGGTGGGGTAGGGATTTGCGGGCGGTGGAGTTGCCGGGTGTGGTCAGAGCTCTCCGTTGCGGGGACGGGGCCGTTGGATTAGTGGGGCCTCAGGAAGCCTCCGACTTTTTGGTTTGAATTGATTGTCCCCTTCCATGTGAGAATCTCAAGATGCCTCCTAGTATTGTGTAACTTCTCTACATAGTCGTTATATGTCAGTATGGCGATTGCAACCGCAGTGAATAATACTTGTCTGAGTATGTATGACAAAATAGATCAGAATTTCAGCCATCCAAGGAAAAAAGCTAATTCCAATCCTACTGTGAGTCGTCATATTACTTCACGGTCAAAATCTCACGCAATGGAGCCCATCATCATTTGCTTTGTAGTGAGATTTAGGCCGCCGTTAACAACTTACTGGGATAGTTACTCTCCAACGGCTTCATCTGTCTATTCACTCAACTTCTGGCCCAATGGTCAAATGAATCGAGCCCCTGGCTCTTGCTACGTATACCATAGTCGATCTTCATCGTGAGAACATAGACTTTGATCTCAATCTACATCTAACAAGATATCAACAAGCCGTCGAATTTGACCTGCAGAGTCTTGTTGGTGAGACCCGGATACAGATGGACAGATAAGCCTTCAACTCAGCTCTAGTAATTCATCCCGTACATACCGTAGTCCAAAATTCGCTGCTTAAACTCTGTAGAAACAGCCTTGACTGACGGAAAGAGCAGGCGGATCAATCACCCAGCTGTAAATTCTCGAATGCTAGACGCCATGTTGCTCTTGGCGATACGAAAGCAAGACATCATCCCTTGATGCCTGGGAGACGTACGGGTATGACCTGACATCACAAGCCTGGGTCAATGGAAACGAAGGCAACAACACATTAATCGTGAGAAACGAAAAAAAATTCAAAACTGCCCGCTTTAATACTAGATAGGTATCACTGTATCCATGCACCGTGAGATGCCAAACCGCCGCTCTCCTGTGAACGCCAAATCCAATGAAAACCGTCGAGCAGGCTCTACTTCTTCGCCCTCCGCTTCCCCTTCTTCTCAGGAACGCTGGCGCTCCCTTCCGCGATCTCACCAGCCTCGATCTCGCCCGCCTTCTCCATCTGCTGCAACTTCTCCTGTCCCGATATAAACATGGACAAATCTCTGTTCATCTCCTGCAGCTCCGCCACCTGTTCCTTGTAAGACGTCTCGCTCTTCTTCAGGGTATCGAGCTCCGCTTTGTTGTGCTCTACGCGCTTCATGAGCCCCTGCGTGACTTGCTTCTCCTCCTGGAGAGCTTTACCCATGTTGCGGGCGAGTTCCTGAGCCTTGGTGGCCTTTGCTCGGTCGCGCTCTGCGTCCCGCTCGAGTTGTGGTATGACTTGCGTTTGGAGACGTGTCAGCTCCGTCTTGAGGATGGCATTCTCTTCCAGAGCCATGGTAGCTTGTGTCGATGCAGACTCGGCTATTGCGGCTGCTTTTGAGGCCTTGTCTGCCACTTTGCTGATCATCTCCTCAAAGTAGACTCGCTGTGACTCGAGCTGACTGGTCAGGAGATGAGTGTATTCCAAGCCGATATTGTCCAGCTTTGCGCGGGGAACAGTATCTTCGTAACCGCCTTCCGGCCCGTGGTGATGTCCGTTGCTGCCCGGGAGCTCCACGACCTTACCGTCACCCTTATCACGGATCAAACGATGTACCCACGTATCCCCAGCGTAATCCCATACATGCTGTGTCTCTAGCTCCAGAGAGAAGCTATGCGCCGTCTCTTTCCAGTGGTCCTTAGCATGGCCGCCCTTATATCGACCGCAGCCGACGTTCCCGCAGATCAGGCAAATCCATAGGTCATCGGTGGAATCGCAAACGCTGCACAAATTCGACACGGAAGAGCCAAATGGTTGTGTGTATGGGTTTGATGGATCGTATGTGGTTTCGGGATTCGTGTGTCGGCAGACCGGACATCCTGAGCCTTTCCAATTTTGCAGGCAGGTACAGTGAAAGACGTGCTGGCAAGGAATCGTCATTAGACCTGTCGTATCGTCCATGCGCTCGAGGCACACGGGGCAAGTAGGTAGTTCGATAAGATTCGGGGTCGGCGGGGGAAAAGGCCTGAGACTGCTGGAGGCGACGACGGAAGAAGAGGAAGGCGTGAAGGGGTCGTGGTTAAGGTCGGGAAATGTCCTATTTTCTCGAGTCGGCGTCTCAAAGGTGATCGATTTGACGAAGACAACATGGCACACTTGCGCCTGCAGAAGAGTCAGTTACACGGCCGCGTCAGGGCTTGCAGTTGACTACTCACCTCCATACTGTTGAAGACCTTTCCGTCAAACTCCCTCTGCCACGCCCTTGCCTTCTCGCTGTTTCCAAACTTGAGGAGCACTAAATACCGGTTCATCCGAGCAGTCATGACCATTCGCCAGTGACTGATGTCATTCCTCCATTTCTCTCCAACATAGCCGATGAAGTCGCCCGGGCTCAGGTAACTTGGAACTGCAGGTATGCAAAGCGTCGTGCAGTCCTCTGCCTCGGCGTCGTCTCCCTCTGAAGACGGCAGTCCCAAGGAAGGTGTTTCCTCCTCGTCGCGGTAGAAATGTACTACTCCCCAGCCTACTTCCGTGCTCTTTGTGTCGAGAGGGACATATTTTGCCTTCGTGGAGATTCCAGCGCCACCAAATGTTGGACCAACGCCAAGGTCTGCTCCGGAGCTCGTTGCCTCGGCCGCCATTTGATCTGTATTCTCGTCGCTTTCTGATTCGATGTCGATGCTCTCGATGCTGACTTGACCAAAGCGCCAGTCCTTGACTGCCGTCTCTGGTCGGATCGCTGCCGAAGAAGGCGGGGGAGGGAAGCTCTGCGTACGAGCTCTCCACTGCCTCTCGGTTATCCTCTCGATGTTGCTGCCACTATCTTCTTTGGCGGGAGCTCTGGATGGTCCGCAGTCGATGAGGTTCGGGTTCGAAGTAGTTTCTGGCGCTCGGTGTATGCTCGATCGATAGGTATCGGCGGGGTACGGTGGTTCGAAGGGTTGTAGCGGCGAAGGTTGCGGTCGGAAGCTCGTATTCGGCCTCTTCGAACTTTTCCTGGAATGCGCGGGAAGTTCAGCGAAGATGTTGGCGCCTTTCGGCGGAAGCCACACGTCTTTACTGAGGGCGTCTTCCTGCTGTTTCCCTTTGACGACGCTGGTGTCGGCGAGTGCGGGGCTTGAAGTGGGATAGAGCTCGAACTTGAGGTGGTAGAAGAAGGTCCGCATAGCCCTTCTCAGCCTCGCAGGCTGCCGTGAGACGATGCTGGTTGATCTTCGGAGGTGCAAATGTTGCGCTGCTAGTGTCAAAAGCCCCAGACTATGGAGGCAAAAGAACGTGGGTTTCCAAGTGTTTCCAGGACTTCCATGGGCTGTTCATGTCGCGGCGCAACTCACGGAAGCAGGCAGGATAAATGTGTTGTGGGGAAGATTTCAGTCATTTAGGTGCGAGTTTCGAAGAGCTGTAGGAGCGAGCACCCCACAGCCCCACTGTTTACGGACCTCGTTCCATCAGGTACGTCACTGATAAGCGATAGACGGGTCAACCTCCAAACGGTGACATTCACATGACAACGAGAGGGAGAGCAAATATTGGTATCACGGGAGTACAAACGATGCACAGTAGTTGCTGAGACTGAAATCAAGTCTGGTATTGACGCTTTCATGAGCGTATGAGTGCCTAGCTAAGTTCTAGGAATATGTGAAGATATCATTCAGAACCATTGTCCTGCCGTAATCGTAGTCCATTAACGCCCTGCCTCGAATGAGGCAACTTTCCCATCGCCAACCCGTCCCTTACTGGCCGCCACGAAGACGGAGGACCAGATGGAGGGTTGATTCCTTCTGGATGTTGTAATCGCTCAGAGTGCGACCATCTTCCAGCTGCTTTCCAGCGAAGATAAGACGCTGCTGGTCAGGGGGAATACCCTCCTTGTCCTGGATCTTGGACTTCACATTATCAATCGTGTCAGATGACTCGACTTCCAATGTAATCGTCTTTCCAGTCAGCGTCTTGACGAAGATCTGCATACCACCACGCAGACGCAGGACGAGATGCAGAGTTGACTCCTTCTGAATGTTGTAATCCGACAAGGTACGACCATCCTCAAGCTGCTTTCCGGCGAAGATCAAGCGCTGCTGGTCGGGAGGAATGCCCTCCTTATCTTGGATCTTCGACTTGACGTTGTCAATGGTGTCTGAAGATTCAACCTCGAGCGTAATCGTCTTGCCTGTAAGGGTCTTGACGAAAATCTGCATACCACCGCGAAGACGAAGAACCAAATGGAGTGTGGACTCCTTCTGAATGTTGTAGTCGGACAGGGTGCGGCCATCCTCAAGTTGCTTGCCAGCAAAGATCAAACGCTGCTGGTCAGGGGGGATGCCCTCCTTATCCTGAATCTTCGACTTGACATTGTCGATGGTATCAGAAGACTCGACCTCAAGGGTGATGGTCTTGCCAGTGAGCGTCTTGACGACTGAAGAATGGGTTAGCAACCGTGTGACTCGGGGCATCATGGATAAAGAGTAACTTACAGATCTGCATACCACCACGAAGGCGGAGAACCAAGTGGAGAGTAGACTCCTTCTGGATGTTGTAGTCGGAGAGGGTGCGGCCGTCCTCAAGCTGCTTGCCAGCGAAAATGAGACGCTGCTGATCGGGGGGAATGCCCTCCTTGTCCTGGATCTTGGACTTCACGTTATCAATGGTATCGGAGGACTCGACCTCGAGAGTGATGGTCTTGCCGGTGACTGGGAGGAAGGATGTCAGATAATGATGGGAATGATGATTGGATGCCTGGATGACTTACGGGTCTTGACGAAGATCTGCATGATGGCGACTTCGATGAATCTGATGTGTGGTGTTGCTCTTTGGTATTACTGAATGTAGTTGCTCGTAATCGAGTGATCGCTGATGGGAGGTTCGTCGAGCGAAAGTAGTGTGTAGAAGATGTGATGGGGAAGAAGAGGAGGGGAGAAGAATGAAGAGGTGAAGTGGCTTAAATACCGAAAGGCAACCAAGGTGTCAGAGAGATGCGGCCTGTCTGAAGGCGGGAAGGAAGGACCTGGAGCCAAGTTGGGTGGTGGTGCCTTCCTGGGTGCTTGGTGACTGACTGGCCGCGGAAGGCAAGGAAGGCAGTGAAGGAGGGGCCTGATTGGAGGCGCAGGTGCAAGAAAGTGGGGGCAGGTTATGCAGTCAGTGGCATTGAGTGCCTTCTTTCTCAGTTCTGAGTGCCTTGTCTGGGGGAATGGCGAATGATTCATCAGCAACTGCGCAAGTGCCACAAGGCGCTAAAGTAGGCAGGAGCAAGCCGGAACCCTCCAGAATCAAGTGGGCCATTTTCTCGGAAATCCGTACATCTACCTCCAGACCCATACAAACGGCAGCTCTCAAAGAGGTAGAGGAACCTTTTCCATGGTGGTTATCGCCCGCTTCCTGACCACGAACCTGGGAAGGCTGGAACCCAGAGTGCTGTGCCTGATGTCTCAGTTACGACTTGCGCTGGAAGGTTGGCCACTCGCCGCCGCCGCTTCTTTGATCAGATGGCCTCGTTCATGCCACCCCTGCGCAGTAGTCCCAAGGTCAAAACACAGCACCAAAAGACAACGAGGTGTAACATCTAATCTGGCATACCCGTCTGAGTGTCAGCATCTACAAGATTTCGAGATCTTTGCCTGAGTTTTGGTGAAGCTGCAAGACAACTGATTTTTGGACAGGAAAACACCCCGCGACTTCGATACCGCTAGTCTCCTGCAGCGTCTCGAGAATGTCACTGATGAACTGATGGGTCGCAAGAGGCCCACCGCCAATCCCTGTACCTACTCCGCCTCTTCCCGGGCGTCCTCACTTCACCTCTGTTTATCACGTCCAACACAACCGGGAACAATCGTCACCGCCGACGACAGATACTGGGGCTGAAGACTTCGCCGAGCGCATCCTGAGGAATGCCCACGATGCTAGCTGCCGATAGACTCGGATACCTACTTCCCATATCGAAATCAAGCAGGCTGGCAAGGCTGGCTTCGGTTTGACACCTATGACTGGAATTCGGCATGTCTCACCTGCGCTTGACGGATTCCACGGACGCCAGCCAAAAGTCAAGCGTAAAGAGCGAAGAGCAAAGAGCAAAGAGGCACAAGGGGTCAGAAACAAGTCCGAATCGACTGTGACTGTCACTGACAAACAAGCGCCCCACCCGCCACCCGGATAGGCAGACCGTAGCGGCCAGGAAACAAACCCAACCTGAGTCCTCGACCACTCAACACGCACTCAGACTCTTAGGCCTCAAGCAATGCAGTCGGCAGCGAACATGAGAATCGCCACCTCCAGAGCCTCTTGGTTAATCTTTGCCCCGTCCGAATCGCTCGCTTGCTAATCCCGTCGCCCCCATACAAAGCTTTTCTCAACCTCATCCCAAGCCGCCACGATGCCTTCCTTTCGACTTGGCCGGCTAGTTGTTGAATGTCGCCGGCCACTCCTCAATCCTCACCCAACATAACACGGCCAAACACTAAAGTGCGGAGAAGGACCGGCGAGACCGGGGTGGCAGGTGAAATGAGCCGACGTCATCCCAAAGGCCACTGCACCCCCAACCTCTCCCGAACCCTGATTTTACGAACCACCGTCCGAGGCAGACAGACAAACAGACAGTCTACCAGTAAAGTACTTCAGCCAAAGACAAGAAAGAAAGAAAAATAGACGGATCCCAGTTCGGCGTCTCCAGACAGACAACAAAGTCATTGAAAAAGTTGTCTTCAGCATGACCAGAAGAATCCGACTCTCCGTATCCTCTTCCGAAGCGACGCTTTCGTCAGCCGAGGAATGAAGCGATGGCGACATCGGTCTTTGCTCGCTCGTTGCTCGGGCCTTATCGCGACATCTGTTCACGCGCTTTCCTTCCAAGGGGCCAAAAGGCGACGTTTCGCCCACACGAGCGAGACACACCTACACACCCGCGCCCGGCACCGCCCCAGTCAATACCTGGGAGACAATGGTACAACACTACAACCCGACCACGTTGGCTGCACTTTTCCTCTGCAGCACAAACACCACCACCAGAGGCATCCTTGCCCCTCCAGCCACTCTTCTCATTGGTTTGGGCGAAATCGAACCAGAGGCCTAAGGGTGTTGTCCCCCATCCCCATTTGCTGCGATAAGGCCCTTCTTCCCCTCATCGACCCTGCTTTAAGCCCATTCCGCAGAGGTTCGTTCCCCAGACTGACTAGATCACGTTGCTCTAATCTAATGTGGTTCACCACGTTGTGGGCTGCACGCCGCGGCTTGCATGCTGTCTCATCTGACCCTCATACTTCCCTGCCTTATCTCATTGACCTCCAAAGATATCCGTAGCGGCGTACATGCATTTCACTTAGGACGAAAGCTTCACATCTAGACACGGGCTTGACGAAATGCATGAAAACTCATTGTATGAAGGGCGCGAAACAAACAATCTCGATATATCGATTTTGACCCAAGTTAACTACAACATCGTAAAATGCCGATATCGGCCAATTGTGCCTCTCCAATTCTCTGTGTGAAGGTTGTTTTTTGCAAATGGGCCCTTCCAACGCCCAAAATTCCAATGCATATCATAATCGTCTATGCTTGCTATGCTCTGTCATTTGCATGTCGTGCCGGCATGATCGTCTCCATGAACGTTCCTGGCGCATGTCGCGTCTCTCTTTGCCGCAGCGCAGCCCTTCTCGCCTGCGCTCGACTCCAGACCACCAACCCCGTTAAGCTTCGAGTCATACATTCGTAATTTGAATCATGATAAAAGGTCGTAACACATCGCGATGAATCGTCGTGGTGGGGAGGTGACCAGCCGAAAAGAATTGAAGTGAAGAGGTGGGGTAGAGATCTTGTGGTGTGTGTGTGTGGTGTCTCGTTCAACGCCGTCGCTGTGACTCGAAATAACAAAAGAGATGCCAACCAAATTGGCCCACCCAGGGGCTTTTCAAAAAATCATAATCTCAAGAAGGAAACGTAAATGGCAGCAGTAATAATAGCACAGTAGAGGACAATCAGTTGGCGCGGATCACGAGCTTTGACAAGAACTTGTTCGACAAGCAGTCAAAGTCGTTGCGGTCAAAGCTGGCGTCGGGGCGAGTACGCAAGTATGCCTCTGTTCGGACTGTTAGTGGTCTGCAGATATGACGGCCAGAATTAATGAGAACTTACCGTGCTTGATGACATGCTGACGGACTTCGGTCATGGCCTCGCAGACAGCGACGTTGTTGTTCAGGAGGTGGCCGTGCTTGGCGGTGTCCCAGTCCATAAAGGCAGGGAGCTTCTGGGAAATGGCGTGGAAGAGGCCAACAATGACACCGACAGGAGTGGTCTCCATGTCATTGCAGAACTTGTTGACGGCGGCCGGATCGGGAACACGGTAGTGGCAGTCGAACTGCATCTCCTCCCAGACAGCGAGGAGAATGGAAGCCAGCATGAAGATGGTAGGCCAGTTCTTGAGACGCTCACCGCTGTAGACACTGGAGTACAGGGCAGACAGCTCCTCGAGGATCTCCTTCTGAAGCTCACGCCACATGTCGGCCATGGCACACTTGATCTGGAAGTTGATCATGACGGGGGCAACGGTCTTGCCGTAGTACTTGGAGTCCTCATCATCGATCTGGCCATCAAGCTGAACATCCTCGCCTTGGCTCTCGACCATGGTGATGTGCAGGGTGAGGTTGTAGGCAAGGACGAGCTTCAGAGCCTTACGGATGACGGGCATACGCTCCTTGACATAGTAGCGGTGAGCAGTCTTAAGGATCTCGGTGATGAAGGGAGTGCCCTCGAAGTGATCCTCGATGAAATCCTCAAAGCCTCCATCAATGTGCTTGTCGAGATAGTCGGACAGAGCCTCAACGGAAACGCCCTTGGCACCGACATCGAGTCTCTCGGTGCGGATGTCAAAGTCGATGGGCTCCTGGTCGGTCAAACAGGACTCAACCCAGTCGACCTGGAAGCAGCTCTCATCGGCCACGTAGACCTCGCGGACGTAGACGGGGAGAGCAAAGCCATAGCCGTGAGTGATCCACATGACAGTCTCGTTCTGAGCGAAGCCCTTGACATTGTAGACCGAGACACCACGTCCAAGGTGGCGCTCATAGTCGGCCTTCCAGTCCTTCATGAAGTAGCCGATATCCTTGATGTCAATACGAGTGCAAGGAACCTGCCACAGGCGGGCGTGAGACGGCTGGCAACCAGCACAAGGCTCACCCTTGTCACAGGTCTTCTTCAAGAACTTGCAACGCAGGCAGGCACGAAGCTTTCTAATCTCACTGGCCTGCTTGCGCTGCTCGGGCAGAAGAGGACCCTTTCTGCGGCCAACCTTCTTGACCTCAGTGCCGTCCTTCTTGCCGGTTGAAGTGCGGCGAATGACGGCCTTGGTAGCCTTGCCGGTGACGGGGCTGCGCCTCTGGCCCGAGTTTCTCCGGGCGGTGGTGAGAATTGGGGGAGACGTGGCGCCGGAGCCGCTGGCGGGAGTTGGCCGGGTCGGAGTGGTCGTCTTGATGGGCATGGGAGCAACAGCAGCTGCAGGGCTGACTGTGTCGTGGTTGTGAACGTGGGCGTGAGTGTGAGTGTGTGCATGAGCGTGGCTGTGAGTATGAGCGTGGTTGTGGTTGTCTCCGAAGCAATTGCGGTGGGATCCGGCATCGACGTATCCATCAGACTCGGGGGAGAAGGGAGAGATGGGGAAGGGAGCAATCTCCTCATAGCTGCCGAGTTCAAATGAATTGGCCCCATCCGACGAATCCGAGTTGGTTCTCAAGTGAAGTGTCTGGCTGGGGTTGAAGATTGCCGCATTGGGCTGTGCCTGTTGAAAGTGGTCGAATCCTGCTCCAGAACCTTGCTCAACGACCATTGACCACCCCTCTCCATTGCCAGTGCTCGGCAGAGACAGGACCTCGAGGAAGGTACCCGTGGGCGAATTGCTGCCGATGCTATGTGACAGGCCGTCGATTTGCAACGCTGAGGCAGCGGCCTGAATATCGTGCCAGCTCTCCATTCCCATGCTCCAATTCATAGCCGGAACAGTGTCGTCCATGGGGGGCATCGTGTTGAAGGCGGATGCGAGTTGAAAGTTTGCGGCCTGCAGCGCCTGGGTCGTGGCGGGGAGGAAGTCGATGGGATTTGTCTGGAAGCCCGGAGCGTATGGGTTGTATGTTACGGGCATATATGCGTCGGAGACATACTGGGAGTAATCGGGCAATCCATGAGGGGCCTG